CCCCTGCGCACATATCAATCATCCCGCTCACGCACATCATAACATTGCGCCCACCTGCGCATTGTGCTGACTTGTGAAGCAGTAAAAAAAAAAAGTACAGTGACAGACACTTAAGTGCGGCATACCAATGACGGATGTCCCTGAGAGCCAAAAAAACCCGCCAGCGACATCTTCGTGACTTAAGCACGTAATCACGTCTGCCAACCGCAACGGAACGCCTTACCCGCATGGTGACCTTCATTGGCCACCATATCACAGAGTCATCCAAATGTTTCACCGCTGCCGCAAATCATGCACTTATCGTAATGAAAATATTCACCAGATGATGCACAAACAACATGGGCCTGGAAACGGCGCGAGCAGTATTAAAATTAAGGTACTAATTAGTGCAGTTGAAGGGGGCGTGTCTGGAGGGTGCAAGGCATCCAAATTCAGCCTTGACTCCAAGGCATGCATTCCAGCCTTCAAACCCAAATGGCCATGAATGAAAAAAATGCGAACTTGTAATGCATGGAGTCAATAATGAAATTAACATCGTATCGTGTCATTATAATAACGCACACTCGCAATTAAGGGTTATTGATTTGAGGTTCACACGTCTTTTTACGTATGGATTTGACCCCAAGTGATCTCAAGCGGAAAGTAAATGCATTTACACATGTTTAGAGGTGCAGCATGCCGTGTATAATTATTTTTCGTCTTCAACGTGCAACCTCTTGTTCCAAATTGTGTCAGCGATTTCTGGGTGACTATGCTCTTGCTCGATATTATGTTTTGTTTCACATTTGGTTATGTCTAAACCTATGAACGCAGTGCTCACATTAATATGCCTATTATGCCAATCAACAGAAACCACCATACGGCGCATCTTTAAGGTCCGGGCGCATTCATAAGCAGCAAGATTCAGTCTGTTGTCGACTTTCTCTCACTGTCTCTCTGTTTACAGTCTCTAAGAATGTTGTTTCGAGATTTCAAAGGGTTTTCGACGAGCTCTCTGACGACCGGCTGTGTTTGTCTTCCCCAGGCCACGGAGAGCCATTAGCTGGCTGTTGCGACCGCTCAGTCCAAGTCTCACATAAATATCCGTTGCCCCGGAAACCCAGTGTATAACTCAAGTGAAATGGTTGGGGAAAATTGAGAGGTTGAAAAAAAAAGAAGACTCTTAACGAATCTGAGTTAATGTGTAGTTTCGCTGAGGAGGAGATCGAGAGCACCGAACCATTCACAAAATAGCCGGGCTGCAAATTTCCTCTCTGGCATTGGAAGGTTTCCTGAAGACCGCCAGGGTTGCTGGATTGCAGGAACATTACGGCAACCCTATATGCATTCTCAGCCGACCTCGCTCTTTATTGTGGGCCAGTTCCGCAAACTGCCTTCCTCCCCCACCTCTTCTCTGCGTGCTTTTTACATCCTCCGGATTACATTTTGAATGCCATAGCAACCGACCAAATTCCCCGACGCACTGCGCGGATAGATTCGTTAAAAATTAAGCAGTGAAGTGCAATTTGCAGACTGCATGATTAAAGCAGGCTGAAAGCGTTCTGGGGGGAAAAGGTCCTCTCAGGTGTAAAATGAAAAGATCGTCTCGACTGAACGAGTTACAAAACTGAAACCATACTTTTTCGAGGCCTCTTTCGCATTATTGTAATTAGCAGAGACATTTTAATTTGATTGCAAATCTCTAGGACAATTCAATATGGTTGGGAACGGAAAATTAGCATCGAAGGAAATACATGTTTATCAAAAATGGTTCTTTATCATTGTAAAAATTACACTGTCAAATTTTCCCTATAACAAAATAAAAGAATACCAACCACGCAACTGCCCTCAGCAAAACATTCTGCTGCATTTGTATGTGTTTATAGCAAACTGTGCATGTACTTGATTACGACCGAAAAGAATATCACCTACTGTGTGATTTGATTACATCTTCCTATGTGAAAGTATTACCAGCAGTATTTTTCAAGCATGGTGAATCTCTTATAGTTTTAACAGTATAGGTTTTCACAAGAGGTCATACCAACACAACAGAATATGATCGAGACTTGAAGACAGTATTCATATTATTAACTAAATATAAACTGGTTATCTTGTCCTTTTATTGAGTATCTAGTCTCCGATATTCACTATAATATATTGGGCTATTAAATCTGCGATATTCCGTGAGTATCGGGCCTCGTGTCCAGAAGATGAGGTACGACAGCTCGCTCTTGTATCACTATTACCCTTGATTTATAGCACGCGATCGGAGATGATGAAAAGGGAGATGCACTGTCAGCCAGACCCATTACTCCGTCCAATCTGATAAATCACGATTTCCCTCAGCCACCAGCCGCCTCTGCGTTAACAAGCGAAAGTCAGCAAAATATGCATGGCACGGTGCCCAACAAGAACACTGCGAGCCACTTCGAGCAATACGCTTTCTAAACCAAACGCATTTTCTCCCGAGCTCGCCCCAGACTTCAAAATCTTGAGCGTCTGGCCCAACATCCGACTGAAATTTAATAGTACATGCCTTCCAGCAGTTTCTACAGTCTCACTCAATTGGAGTTATTGTCATGCAAGGCATAAGACAACCGAAAAAGGTTGATTTTTTTTTTACGGCTCTGGTAATTTTGTTACTTCTAAAAAGACACTTTCGTTCATTATTGTTTACTTAGTATGGGCCTACATGTACGTAACTGTCCCGTAGACTGCCATTTTGTGAACATGTTTTCTGTAGTCCTCTATGATGGTATAGTTTATGATGGATATGGTTCCAGTTGGGAAAGGTGGTGCAAACAATAAGAAAGGGCAGAGGTAAAGTCTGTAATTAAATTCGATTTGATATATTTAGACAGGTCAATTGTTAACCGTTGGGGCGGGGCAACGGAACTGTGTGCCTTTCAATGCGGGCAATTCACAATAGCGCGCCTCCAAGAGTTTGCAACGCGCTGGCCAATCACAAAAATGCGTGAAATCTGTCGGCCCTTTCCAAACCCGCACTGGGTCGACAGATTTCGCTCCCTGTGATTGGCTAACCCGTTGCAAACTCTTGGAGGCGCTCTATTGTGAAACGCCCGTATCTAGATATGAGTTTGCAGGTGCCGGTATTCTTTTCAAAGTGGGCATTTTCTAGCATGATTGGCTTGTACTTATGAAGCCCACACCTAACAAACTTTGAGTTGAGCCTATATTACCAGAGCCTCGATACGAAGCCATCTTAAGACAACCTGATGAAAAGTTTTTGGCCGATTAGCAGATGAAAAGATTTATAATCTTTCTAACTGAGCATCTGTGAGAGACCACTGCATTATGTATAGTTGAGATTTTTTTTCCATTCACGTTTTTTTTGTCTTGCAATCAACTTCCATCAGCTATTCCCGGGGGAAGAAACGTGCGAGAGCAGGTGTATTATGATATTAAAAGTCTCGCCATTAGATCACGGGCGCCGGGGCCCGATGTATTATTGATAAACTGGCTCACTGCCTTGGCCCTTGGATTACCACCGCCACACCTGGTAAGGTGTCGAGCGGCGCAGTGGAAATATGCACGGGCCGCTCGTTGCCTGGGAATTCGCACTCCGAACGACCCAGCTGGGGCCTATACGAGGAAAACTACACAAGGCAAGAGACGACCATGCTAGAAAAAACGTTGAACGAGGGATCAAAAGTATTCCGTGGCAACAATAATTAGAATACAATTTCCGGATTCCTAAAGTAACAATGCAGGAAAATGCCATGCGCCAGGTTCGACACGGGCGACGGTAATAAACTTTCTTTCCGGCCACCTGTTACCTCGGGCACATAACCGATCGCAAGTTTTTAAATAAAACAAATTTCTGCCGGCATAATGGCGAGACCTTGCCCATCGTCAACAAAAATGTAATTCTCTGCGATTATCTGTGATTGTTGCCCGTCGCTTGTTGCAACATAGGCCCAACGTAAAAAAAATCGGCAAACGTTGACCTCCAAATAGCATTATATGCCAGAAGCTCACATCATTACCGGCATGTTATTTCTAAATATAAAAGTCAGAGAAACAAACGGGCGCAAAATGCACAGGGAACCACTTACGTCTAGACTAACCATCAACAACTGAGAGGCCCCTCATTTGACCCATTACCGTGAAAACCGCCTTCCGTGGGAGGTGCGGCTGCATGCTGCCAAGTCCGCGTGCCTCATTAGGCCGAGCGATGCAATATCCTATTAGGGCCAACCAGAGCAAATTGCTCGGTAATGGCCGCTCTAATCCAATGGACTTGATTTGGTACACGAATAGACACGACTAATACGATATCTAGACTGACGGCATTCGCAGATTGGAACACGTTACGCGTCGATGTGCTCAGAGTCCGTAAAATGTAAGCAGAGCCAGGAAAACCCTAGCGCGCATAGATTTTAAGGATATACAGAAATGTAGCTGGGGAGGTGGATACAACATCTTTTTAGACAAGCACCAGTAGGGAGAAGGTGCTAGAGTGAAACTGAATGCGACATCTTATATTGCTTAAACTAAACTTGAGGAATTCACTATACCTGTTTTTACAATGGCACATTGGTGTCTCAGAACAAAATGGAAGGGTGCTCGTCAATAAATGCCTTGTGCGCAAAGGAAATTCTCTTTGGCAACAACATACAAACGCGTTATCGTATCTTTTGTCGAACCTCTAGACGTAACCAGACGAGAAACTGTGCGTATCAACCAATGAGGTGAGAGTTATGACACATGATCATTCATGGCCAGCTGTTCAAGTCAAATAGTCATTACATTGGATGAGCTGGTGAACCCGAAGGACTGCCTTCACGTGGTGCATTCGGACAATCCTCTCATCGGTGTAGCAACGTAGGCCTACGTTGCACCTTCTTTGTTTTTCAAGCTCACGACCTACAGTGCTTTGGGCACTTTTAAGGAATCTTTGTTTTCATTACCAGAAAGACTTAGTAAAAACAGCTTTAAGATGGCTGCGTTTATACTGCAGTATAATAATATCGCCACTATGTTCTATCTTTTGCCTGCAGGTGGCAGGCCTTTTCTAGGAGATGAGCAGAAACTCTACGAGGACCTCTTCCTCAAAAAGCCACTCTACAACAGGCACCTCAGACCCCTGAGGAACCACTCTGACCAGTTGCTTGTCTACTTCACCTTGAAGATCAAACAGATAGTTGATATTGTAAGTCCAAAGAAAACGTGGATAAATGTAATTTGATATTAATAGCTCACACACCAGACCAGTTGAAACCAGATTGAAAGAGACCAGACCAAAGCACTGTATACTGAATCAAACTGGATCAGACCAGAGGAAACCAGATCAGTTCAAGCCAGGCAAGTCCAGACCACTTCAGTCATGGCCAGAAAATTCCAGATTCATCAATGGAAATGCAAACTATTTAAGACCAGATTAAACCAGACAGACCAGTCTAGACCTGAGCAAATCAGACGTGAAAGATCATGGCATATCATGCTATGCATGTATCTGTAACTCTAGACCAATACTCTTAGACACCTTGCTGTCGCCCTCTTTGGAAGGACTGATTTTCCCCCTCTTCGTATCTGTCACCAAGGATGAAAGGGACCAGATCTTAAAGTTGAATATCATAATCAAACAAAGCTGGAAGGACATCTGGCTGCAGTGGAACCCCAAAGAGTATGGAGGACTAGAGGAGCTAAGAGTGCCTGCCTTTGATGTCTGGCTCCCAGACACTACACTGTATAACACGTAAGCTTCATTTTCCCCCCGGGGTATTTGTAGGTAAGAAGGGTTTCTGGTTGGAGAAAGACACATTAGGTAAATTTTGCACAGGTCGCTGAAAGTGAAAACTCATTCTTTCCACACCAATGAAGTCATTTTCTTAACGCAATCATTTTCAGTCCCCATAGACAGACGTTTCATTAATTGTTCTCCGGTAATCCCTCCTTCGGTTTAAAAGTAGCTGTCATAATAGATCCGACCTGCTAACCCTCAGATAATTGCACATCCCTGTTTGGTTTCCCTAGAGCGGACACAAATTCAGCCTACGCAGGCACAACAGGCACAAACGTGGTACTGAGACACGACGGTCTGGTCCGAATGGAGACCAAGCCTTTCATTCAGCGCAGCACGTGTGAAATCAAGATCCGGTACTTCCCCTTCGATGAGCAGAAGTGTAAGCTCAAGTTTGGGCTCTGGACATACGACTGGTATCTGGTGGACCTGTACAACTCCACGGCCGGCCCGGACATGGGGCTGTACCTGGAGAACGAGCAGTGGGACATGTCTTACACCTGCTTCAAGCGACACTTGGTGGACTACGTGTGTTGCCCAGTGAAGTACGTGGACGTGACTCTCTACGTCGGCTTGCGGCGGAAGCCCCTCTACTACATGTACAAGCTGGTGATGCCTATCGTGCTCCTGTCGGCCTTGTCCATGGTGGGCTTCCTCATGCCTTATAACGTCGGGGTGGTCAAAGCCAATCTCAGCATCACCCTCATCCTGTCCATGACCGTCTTCCTCCTTTTGGTGGCTGAGACGATTCCCAAGACATCAGAAGGACTTCCGCTTATCAGTAAGAGTTTTTTTGCCGTTGCTTTTTGAGAGATCTCAATCCAGGTTCCTTGAGTCATCTGATGGACAGATGACAAATTAGTTATGCACGGTAAAGGTTCTTTTGTCTCTGCATACTTAAAGAGTTAGTGCAGTAGATGGGTTTGAAAATAAATCTTACCGTCAAATGTCCCCTCAAACCTTTCAATATGGGGCAACTCCTTACTCTTCCTTTGCCCGTAAAGACATGAGCTTTGGGTATCCTGTATAATGTAAACTGCCTTCAGATCTGGATAATAAGCATATCCTTGGTAGCTTGCGGATATGGACATCAATTTCGCATTTAAGAACGGTGGATGGAATGTAAGGGAACAGAAATTCGACTCACAAGTGTCCTGCCAATTTCCTTAATCGGAATGTCTCTAATATACGATCATAATCGTGTCATTTCCACTGTAAGGTGAGTATTACCTCATCATCATGTTCCTGATTGCCATCTCCACGGCGATGAACATCACTGTGCTCAACATCTTCCACCGGGGGGAAGACGGCACGCGTCAGGTACCAAGCTGGCTGCGGACGTTGGTGCTAAAGTACGTGGCCAAGGTCATGTGCATGGATTGCAAAGGGGAGTATCTGCTACAGCGCCGCAGCGACCCCAAGCTGGACCAGGCGCGGTTGGCCATGCTGAGGAAACAGCGGTGGTTTAATGCCAGGTGAGTGGGAGGTGCTGAGGTGATGGTCCTGTTATCCCGTCAGAAGGAAAAGGGATGGGGGATTGGTATGGCCAATTTGCATGCTGAAGTGATGATGAATAGATTGGGTAAGGTTATCTCGGAACCAAAGTGGGGGCCAGGTTCCTGGGAGAGCAGAGTTTGTCTCACAAACGGAGGTTGGAGTTAATATGGATGGCCAACTTTCTAAATCCCAACTGGAATTGGGATGAGATTGGTTAAGCAGTCCATTGGCCAGTTGGGAACCTTTGCTTTGGAACTGCAAGGCAGTGTTGGGACGGGAGGGGTAAAGTTAGATAGATTCCTATCTGAACGTGTGTTGCAAGAAAGTTGGTTTAAGTTCTACTGCCTTTGAGGGTTCATCTTTCTGCCACTCTTTCATTTAAACCAACGGGTTTTTAATAATGACACAGTAGAAGATGGCAGCAGGAAATAAAATGTCAAAATTTTTATCGGAAGTTTCGATGTGCATAAACATTACCACAAATTTCCGTCCTGGATATCTGGCCCAGTGCATGCAGCCTTGAAGCAACTACCACAGTAGGCCTAGGATAGTTCTTCACAGCAAATTTAGAATCCCAACCCTCTTTAAGTTCCGTGCACTTGAAGGGTATGCAGACAGGGATAACCACGCCTGCCTTCTTGTTGGCAGGTATGCTACGTCATACTCCCCCCTCATCTCTGAGACCTACCGCAACGACATCACCTCGGCCGGCCACCAAAGCAACGGGCACGGTAACCCCGAGGCCGAGCTGGACCACTTCGTGGACCACCTAGGCGAGTCGGACGAGGTGCGGCTGACCAAGCTTGAGTCCAATGTCCACGGGATCTTGCGGCAGATCCGGGCCGTCCAGAGGCGGACAGACGGCAACAACCGGGTGCACACGGAGTGGGCACTTGTGGCCACGGTCACTGACCGGCTCCTCTTCTACATCTACGCCTGCTTCACCGTCTCCATGTCCGTCATCGTGCTGTTGGTCAACCCGGCCTTCAACGGGAACAAGTCGGACAGCGTTTGCGGGGAGGAACCTACATGACTGAGATTGTGACTGCATGAACGTTGATGTTTTCGCACGGATAGTGGAAGGTGTCCGTTTTTTCTATTGGAAGCTGCCAGTCGTTTTCCTCTCACTATTTGTTTTCCCAAGATGTCAAAAATTAGAGTTTAATTCATGGATTTCCTGATTAACTGATGCTCAGACGGCAACAATATGCGAGTTTGGGAGAAAATGTCAGCTTAATTTCACCCACATTTACCATATTCACAAGTCGGCCACACTGAATTGAAAGCAACTTTTTGGGGGATCCTAAGAATAATAAAAGCAATGAAATAAAAGTTCACTGTATATTTGTTTGATTTCCCATGATTATTCTGAGATTTATTATACCTAAATGTTTAAGCAACACTTAAAATAATGAGGCATGGAACTCTAAAAATAGTCTGGAACCACCCCATTTCACAGATTACATTGACAGATTTAGGGAACCTAAATCAAAGATGGCTGTCTTGTGGATAAGGTCTATTTCATTAGATCTCGGACCTTTTATGCAGTACTTATAATTGTTACCTACAACTGGTTCGTTGTTGTATTTCCATACTTTCAGAGACAGGTTAAGTATTATGTATAGGACTTATGATGTAAATTTTAATCGGTGGAAGTTTGTTCATCTCATCTCAAACAATGAAAGCTCTGTCGTCCAAGTTTTTCTTAATCTTATCGAAAAGTGCACTTTTGTAACATTTAAAATTCACCATGCTTTTCCTTTGCACAATGCTTTTCCTTTGCACAAACAGGGCGCTGTTGCAGTGATGTCACTCCAGGAAGACAGTGTTGGTTACGCTTCTTTCCAGATTGTGATCAAAATTTCTGTGCACTGCAAACACTTTCAGAAAACTGTGCTCACTGGCTCACCTTCATACATTCAATGTTCTGCCAAACTTCGGTGCTGAAATAAGTGTCACTGACTGAGGCTTCTGCTGTCTGTTGCTACCTAACCCACTTCTACTACATATTTATGATTTGACTTGTGAATAACCTGAATCTAGTCCTGAAGAGCAGTACTAGACCTTTAGAGGGCAGTTGATCTCTGCATAAAACGGTTTATCAATGGACACTGCAACATGTGTATTTTAGTTTGGGGGGCCAACTGTACAGTAAGTAATGTGTGTTTGCATTGCCTTCAGAACATTTTAAAAGTTACTTATGGCTGTGAGGTCTCACCTTCATGTACTTCACTGTCTTTCAATTTCAGGGATGCTGGGAATGTTGTTTGCTTTTTCTCGATTTTGTATATTTTTATAATTAAAAAAAATCCCACCATTTTGTGTAAAGTCCGCTTAGGAACTTGCATTATGTAAATAGCGTATAAATTCAAAGGTTTGTAAAATTGAAGGAGGAATGAGATGCACCAACTCATTTAAAAATTCAATATTAAGGGGCAATAACGGCATGTCTGTGAAAATGTAAGGCAGTGTGCATGTGCTCGTGGAAAAAATGAACTGTGTACAATGTAAATGCATCACAACTTCAGGCAAATATATCTGGCCGAGTGTTTTTAATATTAACAGTTTAATCTTAAATGATTGTTTTCATCGCAAGACAGCTGTGCACACCTGTACTTTGGGTATTATGAATGTACACATATTGGCTATAATGTATTGGCTGGCAGCCTATTAATAAAAGATGCCACTGCCTCTTACAGCAGTTAATATTTTTGGCTGTGCGAGTGCCTAATGACTTGCATGGTGTAGTCACTGTGCACGATCTTTCGAGGGGGCTGTTTGACACCCCTCATGCCTCTCTGATGGCTGCTTTGTCTATTTACGTACAGAACCACCTTAGAGGTTCACGGTGTTGTTACTTCAGTGACAATGAATGCCCCAAAAAGGCTTCAAATGTCTAGCAGATTTAACCCTCCAAATGGTTCACCTGGCCCGAGACAAGAAATGAGACTCAGGTGACAACTTTCCCACTCTGTTTTCAGGCTAAAATCTGGCTGTTTATTGATATCTGTGAACTCTCATAGAGCATGATTTGAACTGGTGACAATATTCAATGTGAACTTCTGGAGATACGCAAATTAATTTATGGTCTGAACTGAGAGTGATCCAATGGTCTATCTCTTGCCTGAGACACGGGGGGCCTTGGTTTTGGGGTTGACTGCAGCCTTCTGCTTGACTTGCTTGGGCTGGACCTGCACAGTAGAGCAAGAGGAAAGAAATTCAGTTGCATTGTGTCTTCATCTTAAGGTTTGGAGGTATTTTTGCTCGGGAGATTTCTGAGGCATGCAAAAATTCCACCACTCTGCAGGGAGATGACACATTTTGTAATTCAAATCTCAAGGCACATCCAGCCTCAAGCAAAGACTGATGGGGAGCCGCATGCTCCTATCTGGCAAAAACAAGACAAACTTCCCTGAGGGTTTTCAGGATTATGGGAGGACTTGGGTTCAATCGAAGGTTGTCACGCTAAAACCTAAACCTTGCTGAAGACCAACATGGGTAACATACACGTGGATTACCCAGCATGAAACTGACCGATTCCCACGACAGAATCTGATGATAAAAGCGAGCTGAGGGCACTCTGGCCAACACAGGGCAAGTTTGAGTGACAACTGTGGTTTGACCAACCTCACCCCAACAATGGATGGGGCGCGCAGTTTATAAGCACAGAGCGAGTTGCGACAAGAGTGTCTTGACTGTTGGAACCAAAATGGTGGGTCATGCATTGGTGCTCATGGACAGCTAGCACACAATAGCTGCATGCTTTACTGCATACATAATGAACAGCCATTTTGGTTCCAAAGTCTGAAGCTGGCGCATCTCTCTCTATACACGGCTCTGGTTTGGACCACCTAGTCAACCATTTCAAAGCAGGCCCTGGGGCACAATCACACCGATGGTTATAACTCGCCAATCTACCAGTACCGAGGGAACCATTAACATCAAAATAAGTGTACAAAATGTCATTAACCATGTATGCCTAGAGAGTTGCAGCCAGTGGCAAAATGGGAGTGCCAAAGGGACTTTACAACACAGCTCAACTTCTTAAAAAGCAACTGACTAGTAGTTGAACTATAGATCACTCCCAAACTCGCCCTGATGTCAAACGTTTACAATTACAAACACCCAATCAGGTCACTGCATGCCATGCCACATCATCCACACTTAGCAACTCAGTGCCAATCCAGTGATGGCCGAGAAGTGTCTTGACCATGCACGGCAACCCACGACATTGCTGGAGCTATGAGACCACTGCCCTTCCTCCATTCATTTCAAGCCACCAGTCAAGGGGTCAAAATAACTCTGTCATGGGTAAACTGTGGCACATCCACTCCACACCACTACTGCATCAAGACAGTGAAATTCTTTTCAGCACGGGCTGTGTCCAAACTTGTGGCTGGGAAAACAAACAGTAAGAGCCTGTGACAGTCACTAGCTAGTGGCTGCAACTTCTCCCCATAGATGTGAGGGTTAAAATATCAGCCACAGCCAGTTAAAACGGACATGGCCTCAGGGTCGGGTTAGGGTCTCACAGCAATTACTTTACCTTGGCAGGAGCATTCTTTTTAGCCTTCTCCTTGGCTGCCTTAGCCTTCTCCTTGGCAGCCCTGTTAGCAACAAACAGAAAAAAAAATTACGATCAAAACTGTAAATCCACAGAAAGCTTAACAGGCATCTCAAACCATGCCCCAATGTTGTGGCTCTGTTGGCTGCGGTATTCTGGGTGTGCGCCGCCCATTCAAAGCTTAGAGACTCATCCGAAGTTCTGGTCTAGCTTCCAGCGAATAATTCTTACAAGCACATCATCCAATATCAACATGTGAAACGTGTTTACTGTTAGCGTGGAGCTTTTCAGCAGCAGTGAACAGTAAGTGGAGTCAGAAAATTAGACCCAAGATTGATGTGGCTGTTTCTTGCTTGCCAGAAAGTTCCGTGAGTGAAAGCTCATGAAGTACAAAGTTGAAAATAGATTTGAGGGCTAATTCTCATCCACAATTAGGGATTTTGCAATGAGAAAAGGATGACCTCATCCGGATGTTACAGCCCCTTCAGATATTCTAATATGCAAGCATTTTCATTGATTTTTTGGTTAGAGTTTGGTTAGAAAATACAACAAACTTGTGGTAAGGTAGTAGAGCTAATAATAAAATTTATCAACTTCAAAGAAATTCTTTAATGTTTGAGTTTGGGGGAATTTTTCAAAGTGTGCCATTCCAGCATGGTTGGGAATACTCTCGGGGGAATTCCGGACACCACCCTTTTAAAATTTTGGACGAAATTTTGTGACACTGAATGTTCATTAGCATGTATTATGGAGGTTATAATGCAAGTATTTAACAAAATGAAGTTTTTTCAACAAGGGTTTGGCAACAAGTCAAGTGAAAGTAAAGTGCGCAACAATCTGGTAGCACACGACGCACTGTGCTTTCCATCGATCTTCCCTATTACCAAAAGCGTAAGTAACGTTAGTCCAAAACACAACATCAGTCACTTTTTTTGTTCTAGCAAGTGAAAGTTCAACTTGTTTTTCATTCTTCCATCACTTTCAACTTCCATTTGATACATTCAGGAGTTCAAACTTAACACAACGCTCAACTGAGTGCGAGACATAAAACGATGACCGCATGTTCCGTCACATATATGCACAGTACATGCCGCATGCACACCGTGCCCTGAGTCTTGCCGCCCATGCCGCTCAGCTTGCGCAAAATGCTTGAGCATTACTGGTTCCCTACTTTGGCTATCTCAAGTGAACACCGGTAGTGTGGGAACCAATGAAGTCAGCTCCTTTTGGAGTCAATTTCTGTATATGTGTGTTTCATAGGATAATGTGCCCCGCTGTATGTGTAAATTGAATCTTGTTTCTATTATTATTACAGCGTGAAGCCCTGTGCATTTCGCATTGCACAATGTGCGATTTATTTTTAAAAAGAGTGTAGCATTTGGTCAGTATAGCACTGCAAAATGTGATGTGATACAGGGGAAATCGAACACTGCTTGTAGGCTTACTTGATGGCCTGCTCCCGCTGCGCCTTGCGGACCTCTGGCTTCTGGTTCCTCTTGGCCTGGATCTGCTCCAGCGTGACGCCAACGATGGCTCGGTGGAACTTGGTGGTGCGCCGCGTGCGCTTCTTGGTCACCTCTTCCTGCGTGCCCTTTTTGTGCTTGCGGCGGTACAGGACAGTCCAATTGATCTTGCGCGGGTTGCGCTTCATCATGAAGGACGCCACGCACTTGTTGCTGAGGAAGTTGAAGACCTTGCGGGGAAGAGGGTAAGTTTTTCAAAATTCGGTGAAAAAGGCCTATTCCATGAGTGAAACGACTACACTTGGCACCCTCTACAACTACATACACAATGCACATGATTTATGTCGATAAATCAATCAATAATGTATGCAACATACCATTACTAAAAACCATTAACCCAGCAGTTCCAAATGACAGACGAAATATCGCGATCTTCAGCAGGTCACTAAGTAGGCCCTAATAGAAGGGTAATGTTTAGGACAAAATTGACATTTATATTTCTGTACACACGTACGATTTACGTACCTTGCCATCGACCCTTGCGAATCGGATGCCATGGCCGGGGTGGATTTTATACCCACTAAACTGACACAACTCTTGCCTGAAATTAAACAGAATAAACAGATTTGAGCAACAAATTTGTCTGATTTTAATATAAGGGTCCTTAAATTTTTCAAAATCTCTAGATTTCGGTGATGGAAGAGGATTTTAATAGATTCGCTCATTACTACTCACTTCATGCTGACGGTCTACGGAAAAAGAGGCCCTTAGGCTGGTTTCTGGTTGCAGTGTAGTACATGACGTAAATGAGGAAGTTCGTGGTCCGAGACTAGACTTGTGAAAAGCAACGTAAACGTCAATAGAGGGCGTCCGCCAACCTTCCCACGGGAGCCTACATCTCACAGACATAAATAACCCATTTAAGTCTATGGCCCACATCTCCAAAATCGAGTAAACTCACACATTACACAGAATGAGCCCGCGAAATTCGCAAGGAAATTTCCGAGTCCTTGCACTGTGGTAATTCTCATCGGGAAAATTCTGCAAAATAATTATTAATACAAACATGATAGACTGCAGTGGTTGATAACCACGCAATATGGCATTACGGAGGAGAGGGTATCGTGGGCATGGGGCATTGCCCCCCCCCCAGCGGAGGGGACGGTCCCCCACCCCTCACTTTAGTCGAATGGGGACGTAACTCCCCACCCTGCAGATATTTGGGGCAGGGTTTAATGGATCAATCTGATACCTGATGGTCACACTCACACAACCCCTCCCCCACTTTGAAAATCGATCAAGTTCACCGCCGTAAAATTAATACTGTTGTTTTTGATGTGTACTTGTCAAAGTTCGAGAATAAGTTCAGTATGTTTTGTGCAGTGAGATGTGATTCTTTTCTAATACTGCTAGACCAGTAGATGGGGAACTCTAGGGGGAGCCTGGGATGAAGTGCGCTTGTTTACTTGAAGGGTCACTGTTCGACTTTCCAGCGCGTGCTCCCTCAAAGAGTTTGAAATTCAAACCTTTCTCATCGACTTCCACAGCGTTTTAAGAGATTAGAAGAATGCATCCCTTCAACTTTACTGATAGGATTGTTCTTGCGAGTACTTCATGTCTTTTGCTATTTTATCTTTGTTTGTTTTGGTGGAGTTTGTGTGAGTATTTTATACTTAGTTGCATTTTTGCTACTTTTATTTACAGTTATTCGTTTATCCCTTCTATTTTTTACCAACTGAGAGCGGCGGGCCACAAAATGTATCGATCCACAGATTTCGATCGCTCGCCGGTCAATCTGTTAAACTAGAAGCACGCCCTCTTGTAATTTCATCCACTGGAAAAGAAATAGCCCTTGTAAAATATCGGCTCTCTATACGCAGAGCCTTGGAAACTCGGTTTCAAAACTTACCGAAAACCTAAAATTTGGCCTTTTGTTCATAACGTTGACCTTTATATAGAAGATAATAAAGTTACACTGGGTCTGAAGATTTCAACTAAATTTAAGTCTAAACTAAGAAATCTGAAATCTGAACCGGAGCTGTTCAGGACGAGATTTAGAAAACGCCAAAAATATAAATAAGCGCGGATCTTCAAAATGGCGGACCCCAGGCACATTCGTCTGCAAGAAAAAGGTAGCTTTTTGTTTTCATATTTCCTTTCTACTGGGGCTGTATTAATGTGCATTTTTGTTCTTTTTCTGAAAATAGTTGCCAGTTGGGTCGGTGGAGCTGGGCTGCATGCATGCGTAGGGCCTGGCACCAGGCTGGACCACGAGGATGGTGTCGGAGTGTAATTAAATTTCATGAGCCAATTTCATTTTCTTGTCAGAATACATACGCATGGGGGGTTGTTACATGTAATGTATAGGACTTCTACTGGTACTTAAAAGAATTTGTGATACATTATTTCCCTGAATAGCTGAGTAGAGGGCCTGCATGAAGTGCCGTCCCAGACATGTCATTGCCAGAGGACATGTTTTGTATGATGTAGATTTGATGATAATAAATGCACAAATGGTTTACTTGAGCCTATCCTAAAGGAAAAAAGAAATGCCCTCTAACATGATGTCATATGCCAGGGGTCTATTGAGGAATAAAAAGGCCTATGTGCTTGGTCGGTCTTAACCCTAACTATCCTCAATCCTTCACCTGTTGGAGGATTGAAGACTGTTAAAGTTAAACATGTTAAACACTCATGAAGTCCGGCTCATGAGAATGGACGTGGTGAGGGCAAGGGTATTATCAGTGTTCATTCTCCTAAGTTAGTGTTAAATGTTAGTTCAAGACGGGCCAAGCACATAGTTATTCCCTTTCACAAATACCGTTTTAGGCAGGGAGTCAAAAGAAATATGCGAAAATTTTCAAGGAATGTGTTCAAGAATTTTACTTTCGTTTTCCCAAACACTCCCATCCATTTCATGGTAGGCCTGTTTTGTGCTTGGCACATGTGTGGCAAATTCTGCTCTTGCGGTACATAACAACTCTTGACAAATACTTGAAGGAATGGATTAATCTGTCTTGTATCCAGTTGCCAGCCTGTTTTTATGTAGCGAGCATAATATCAAATCGTAGTGGGTATTATCAAATATTAAAACAGTCACATTGCCCTTTGTTGAACAGGGAAACACTCTAAGGTATTTATGAATACATATTTCTTTACAGATGTTCTCAGACCTCCTTAGTTACAGGTCACAGTTTTTAAAATACATGTTCACGATACATATATAAGAGCAACGTTTCCCTAATAAGAATATTTTGCATAAAACGCATTGTATTCTAAGCGTGATTAATGCTAATTTGAAAGTACAAATATGAAGGCATTGAAGGAAATAGTCTAATGGTCTTCTTCTAATGGTCATTAGTTTTATAATTCAAATGAAAATAATAATTAAAAAACTGTCAGAGATTGGACAACCGAGGATTCTCCTTCAGAGCAAGCATGTACCTGTACCTTCCTTTTGCAAACTTCTGAGAAAGGTCAGCAAGTACTTCATCAAACGAAAAAAAATAAAGAAGATTTTAAAATAAAACCGTCAAACTGACTGTCAAAGGTGCTGATTGTTTCATTCGCACTTGCGCTCGATATTTACCAAATAACGTACATTGTGTGGAACTCGTGATAATAAGAGGGGTGTTGATTTCCACTTTTATTGGGTGGAGTGCGGTGAGGTAGATTGAGAGCATAATTCATCTGTCGGCCGTGGCTGTTTCGTCCTCACAAACATTCATTGTTTCTGGAGGAAGCCACCAATAGCGGCGTAATCTCGGTGGGAAGTCGATGATTATTGGTCCCCTTACACCACGGGCTACAGGTATCAAGTTACAGGCAACACCACCTCCTGTTCTCTAATACACTGTGCGGCATTGAGTCACCTTGGCTTTCCCGGCATCTCTGTTTGGGCTCAAGGCCTCAAAGAATTCAGTAAATTTAGACAGTTGATCAAAATGTGATGATTTTACGCAAACTCATCTTGCAGAGCACGATGCTCTTTAATCAAACTGAACTGACAAAAAGAATGTACATGTACACACACTGCCACTTCATTTTAGCACAGCCCCTTACTTGTGACCACACAGTCAGAAGCCAAGGTTGTTGTCTAAGTGGTCCTCCCCCCCAAGCATCCCGAAGTACCTTGCTGTTAGCTCCTCAAACTGCCCAGAATTGTCAGTTAATGACTGCTACATCATCGGTTCTGAAACTGGCATCTGATGGCTTCTATCATCAGCTTTGTGTAGTCAGCACATTGTCTTCATTGGTTAAAAGAAAGAGGATAACGGTGTCCATTCTTAAGATTACACCAAAAATGACCAAATTCGGCTGAAATGGTGGCCCTTGCTTGAATCTCAAAGAGTTTACATGAATTCCCCTTCTGTATGCTGATCAGTATATTTCACAGACCTATCATGTGAAAGCTGTGCTAGAGAAATTTGATTTTGACTGATTTCCAAACAGCAAGAGCTTGTCAAGATGAATGACTTGACATCCTCAATGAAGTTAGATGGGCACTATCATTTTGTCCACCCCCGTCAGAGTTTTGGATTGTTCCTGTTCGTCAGCCCGGTGGATGAGCTGTTAGTGTGACGATGACTAAAAAAGTTTGCCCTACGTTGGCACGTCCAGATCGCTTTCATAATCCTGGTTGCTGAGAAGGCAGGTTAGAAGCAGAGAGCTTAATTTTGTTACAGTTGTTAAAATTGCTGTGGCCTAATTTTCATCGGCGTCATTGGGCAGCTGTGGAATCATGGTGCCGGTTGTGTTACTCCTGCATCTGTGAACGTGCTGTCAGGGGAAAACATTCAAGTGTCAGGTTTCCAAAGGGACTGTAGTCAGCATGCTGTGAAGAGATCCAAGATCGTCCTCTTGTGCAAGTGTGTTGGGGTTCGGTCTATCATTTGGTGTCAAATCTCAAGATTGAGTTATGGAATCTATTGCGACTTTCCCACCTTGGGATCCGATAAATCGGGAAAGGTCAGACATGGAGGGCTACGCTGGAGAAAAGAATTATGAAGGTAGGCAGAGCAACCAAATGGTCATCACGGTCTTCTTTTATGAGTTGGTGTTCAGTGACAGTGTACTCGCAAATTACGATTAGAAATTACGATTAGTAATTACGATTAGTCGTGAGTAGCTAAATGTATGTGAACGAACGAGTACAAGAACTGTTCAACGGTTATGGTTATTCAACTGAAAGATTGTCCAAAGTGCAGTCTGTAGGCCTATTCCTTTGCTTTATGTGACAAACTTGCAAAGTTGGACTGCTGGACTAGAAATCTGGTCGTGTAATTAACAAACACAGACTGATTAACCGATAAACTGATGCATGTGTAGTACCCAATGTACAAATGTAGTCGAGACCAGACACAAGGCCGTGCACAAGACTAGTTACAAGAGGGTGAACAGTGACAAAGAAATGCTTTGTTGCAGTTCATCTGAATACATGTACATGAAGCTCGTGACCTAAATTCAGACTGGGGGTCTTGTGTTGGTCATGTGAAGGTCTTAAGTGGTCTCAACCAAAGATCACATAGTGCCGCATAGCACCGCAAGATGGAGAACTTCGCGTAACTTCACACAAAAAAACGTTGTAATCGCATGGGCGGCATTTTGGTTGGACTGCGTTTGCGCAGTGCATGTTAATCATAATGCAACAGGTGCAGGCGCCAGGACAGGCATGCACACCTGGTATGCCTGCACTGGCGCCTACATGTATATATGCATTAACGTGCACACTCAAATGGCGCTCATTGTGATAACACCTTTTTGGCAGAGTTCTCCATCTTGCGCTGTTATGCGTTACTATACTATCTTTGGTCTCGTCTACAACACTGGAAGTACATGTAGCTGTAGTGTCCCCTAAGCAAGTGCTGATTTTTGTCTAGTACCTGATGGTCAAGTTTATATTGGTACACACTTTAATGATAGTACCAAATACATGTGTAGGTTGATTTCTCATCTACATGCACATGTACATCAGCTTGCCTGTTACTGAGCAGGTTTGTTCTCACCTCTTTTGAGCAGAATGCTCTAAATTTCTGCAGAGGCAAAGTGAAAGGTTTGCATCACAATCACTGTCCCACGATCCATCAAAATCCTCAAACCACGAAATGATGGATTAAGAACAGGCGTAAGATCCCAGCCACTTTTGTGGGTACCGGTACTTCCCCTTGAGGTTGATGTCCGACTCTTGTTCAAGTTTGCAGAGCTTGGGTCAGAGATTTTTTTTTTTTATCAGGCTCCGGAAGATTTCTAGCCAAAAGGCCATGGGAGTCGGGGTTCAAAAATTAATACAGGGGCTATTTCAATGGGGACTTTAGTCTGGCACTGACACAAAATGAAACCATGTGTAGAAGAGGTCTAGATACAGGTGGAAGCCTAAAATTGAGTGTCGGATTCAGGTATGAGGCCAGTGCCCTGGCTGGCCTCAATATTTAGGGCATACTTTCATTTGATAGGAAATTTAGGACTGAGTCATGGGGACAAGCATTTATCCCTCTAATTACTTCTGTTCAAGTACCGGAAGGGTGCCAATGTGTGTGTGTTCAGTCACATTGAGGCACTAATGGTACAAGTGTTACACAGCACCACTATCACTGGGTTTTTTTTTTTATAATAGCTGGCGTAACACCCGATCCGACTACCCACCGCTACTTATAAGTAAGGCCTGTGCAGCTAAATAGCTATGCTCTAAATGTGATGCTAATATATTATCGTATGATGCAATACAGAAGGCACACATATAAGTGAGGCTTGTTCGAGCCTTCTGCTTCCAAATTTTCTTGACACTGACTAGCCTCACTTATAAGTGTGCCACTGTATTGCATCATACGATAATATATTAGCATCACAGTTCTTGCAGGCTATTTTGCTGCACTGGCCTTGCTTTTAAGTAGCGGTGGGTAGTCGGATCGGGTGGGCGTAATGCTTCAATCATTACTTCAGTTGGCAATTTTGTTGAGTGCAGAAACTGGCGAAGCGAAGAAAATAAGTTCTCAGCAAAGACAGGTTACCAGCCAAAAAGTCATTCACTGTATACTTGTTCATGTACATTTGCCTTCACTGGTTCTCCGCTGATTTTTGTTTTTGCACTGTTAGCTCTTTGCACGCTGCCGCGGTAGGCATGCAGAGCCTCGAACTGGCAGCTTGTACAGTCGCTTCAGCAACCGCTTTGTCCAATCGCATGGTATACATTAAGTACTAACGCAGCATGCGCAAAATTACATTTAGCAACATACATGGGAATCACTGAACCAGGTATATTTATTGTGTAAAGCTGCCAGATCGAGGCTCTGCATGCCTAAGGTACGGCGGTAGTGTGCAAAAAGCGAATACCGGTACATTTGCCAGGCAGTAGATTCTGCTTAGCAATGTGTTTTGCTCATAAGCAATTCTTTAAAATCAGGCCCAGCTAGAGAGGCAGCTTGAGTACATGTACATGCATGTACAATGATCCAGTGATCCCGTGCCCTGTTTTATTGATATACAGGTACCTGTATGAGCACACAGATGTACCAGTTCGTGCATGCTTAAAGGTACTGGCACAGCCATCCTTACGATAAATATACTGCCTATCTTGACACAATCGAGATCCAGCAACGCATGGAGGATTTACACGTGTGGCTACCTACCACGCCACAACTGTAAAAAAAAGTCTACTGAGGACAGATGACGGTCATGGGCCCTTTTCCAATACTCGACTTGGGCTCCGTCTCAGGCTTCGTTCCCAAAACCAATCCCCGATTGTGGGCCTGAAGTGTTTAAATTAAATTGGATTACTGTAATTTCTGGCTCTCTTGCATCTTATATGATGTTTTGTGGCACTATTAGACTAATTACTGCGCTTACAGCTTCAAAGTCAGCTCCTTAAAAAACAGGTGAAGCCTGAGACGGAGCTGGAGTTGATTATTGGAAAACGGCCATGGTGATGCTGGAACAAAATGGTCGATGAAACCCACCGAAAAATCCCACCCTCCTACTCCTTATCTCGCCATCGCATGTTTCATGGAAGGACATGGTAGTCCATGTTGATGGAGGGTGTGTGTTCAGCGTGTCGAGCACGGGCAATCATTTCCTCCCGAGGTGCACATTATGGAATGATTGAGGATTTCCTGGCTGTGCGTTACTCATGCTACTGGCTTTGGAGGGTCAGAGTCGCTTTGGCTAATTGTGCATCACGTGAACATCTTGGAAAGACTCCCATGAAATATCGGATACCTTTGACGGCATCACGTTTGGGGGGATATTTTTATTTTTCATTGAAATGGTTAGAACTGTGAAGAAAAATAGAAACTTGGTAAATTCAGATAAATTGTCAATGTTGTTGTCAATTGTCAATGTACTCTCTTGGAAATCTTTTGCTAAAAGTAGTCAGCATTTGATGGGAAAAGGGCCCACGTTGACCAGACGGAACAGAGACATGTATACATGTATGGGTACTTGTACGCTTGTAGGGAGCTTTAAAGATAGGCCCCTTCTAGAACGAGCCAGACTTGGCACCGTGCACAACTCCAGCCAAGTTCAGTGTTCTCAGGGCAAGTGTGTAATTACACATTGGTAAACAGGAGGCATGTGGCCTTGTGGTTACTGTTTATGATCCTCTGATCTGTAACTTCCGATCATAGGGTCAGGTGGCACCATGTTGTGATCTTGGGCGAGTCACGTTACCCCTATGTGCCTCTCTCCACCCAGGAGTAAATGGGTACATGTACCTGTGAGGGCAGATATGGTTATTGTGTTTAGCTGATATATGAAAGCAACGGGTTAGAATACTCCCCGGGGAGCCGAGATGATCTGGGGATTATTCTGACATTATGAACCCAATGTGCAGGGATAATGATAATCTCTGGGTGTCTACTTGACAGATACTGTTAGACACTATGCACCTTATGCTTTGTTATTATCTTTAAACTGGATGTTAGGGCATCACAATGTTCTCTGTATTTTTCCCTATGAATGACACACCTGTGCTACTTGGCCTTATTCAGGGCATGGGGGTCACAGTGGAGAATGTATTGGACAAAGACAAAGGCCTACCGGTACCGTTTCAAACGTACATACATGTACATATGTACCCATAAGAGAAGTCTGACTCGCTACTGCAATCCCCGTCTCACCTACTGCCGCCTATGGCCACCCACTCCCCTGCGAAGGTGTTTGCCCGAATTTGGCAGTTTGATATTTGAAACTGAGGACGCGTGGTGGTCCAGTAAACCATCACCACAAAGTGAGGACATATACCGGTACCTTGCATGAGCACGATGTGCAGTTACTTGTTCTTCTATGAAGCTGTTTTAATGGAGCTGTTGGAGTAAAAACAAAAAGCCCATTGGTTTTGTGCGCGGAATCATCCTGCTGTGCGAGGATGCTGAATAGTGTGACCCTGTAGTTTAGCAGGGTGTTTACTGCTGCTCAAAACAGTTGGCAAAACTGGGTTGTTCAGATGTGAGCTTCCAGTTTGATGAGATGGTCATAGGCAGCCTTTTTACCATCACCTTCAGAGGACATAGCAAAAATGTACATGCTCAAGTCAAAAGCCAAGTAGATTCATGTAGGAATTTGCAAATACCCAAAACCATTTACAAATGTATATTTTCATAATTAGTGCTTTGATTTTAATAAATATCACATAATATTAAGATTACGGGAATATTGAAAACAAACCATTTAATAAATGCCTGGCTGTTGTTCAAACAGCAGAGACTTTCTCATTTCTAATCAGTTGAGCATTTTGTAGTTTCTTTCAATCAGAGGGCCGAAATTTCCCTTGGGAATAACCCAGCTACCGTACGTGTATGGAACATGTGCCTCCCCCCCTTTTTAATAATTGAATTCAATTTTGTGCAGTTGTGCTTGTCGCCTATTTCAGCAAAGATCCAGCATTTAAAACAAAGAAAAACAAAGCCCTTTTCACAGAATAAATAAGTACACTGCCGTGTACTGTACACAGATGTGTACATAATAGTATGAAAGAATTAGCCTAACCTTTGTTCAAGGAAAGTGGAAATTACTTCAGGTATCTTTTGTTTAATTAACTACCGCTGCGTGATGCAGTAATTGAGTTGGCGTCGTCCCTGTACTTGTACATGTACACACACTGGCCAACCGTACATGTGAATCAGGCATGTCCTTCAATTTAAATGCATTGTCACGTTCTATACATGACACTTAGCAATATTTTATGGAGTTTCATTATACATGCTCCTTCACAGTTCTCCTTGGGCATATTTGCTGCGCTGCATGGCGTTCATGTATGACTAATGAATGAACATTTTGCATCTCGTGTTCTTCCACTCCCCTGAAGTTTGTGTGTTTCTGTTATTTTCTTCTGACACGTCAGTTTCGGCACGATCCTGTTCCGACTTCAATTTTTGTACGTGCTCGTTGCCAGACCAGTTTTGACAATGTGCAGAATGTTTAAAATTTGGTATGAATGGAGAAATTAGGGGACCAGCCTACCGGTTACATGTACATTTGTAAGAATGGGTACATGTACCAGCTAACATGTACATGGTCACACAGTTGATGTACATGTAATTGCACCTGTACATGGTGTTCTTAAAATCAACCTGCAGTGTTTTTGGCACATACACATGTATACTATGGATTGCAGTTTCAAGCAGCACTGTCTAAGGAAGATTGGGACCACTGAGAAACTTGACCCGTATTTTGCATTGGAGAATTGCTGTGTACCAGTGAAGTGTTTGCCTTCCACCAGCCCTGTGTGTATTCTTGGTGTCTTTTTGAACGAATAATAAGGTTTTGTCTCACACTAGTTTGTATTGAAATATTATGTTGGGCGTGTTCATTGTGCTGCCATACCTTCGTTGTACGTGTACAGGGGTAATTCAAGAAATTAGGGATCCAGTTTTTTTCGTGTCCCTGTCACATCTGACATGATTTTGTAAGTTCAGAATACATTTTCTAATTTCCATGAGTGGCAAATTAATGCAAATTACATGTACGCGCGAGACAAATAGTTATAGTTTGAAATCAACTCCGGTGATATTTCCATGTTTAAATAACAAAGGTCAGATGTAACAGGGACACCATAATGTCACACTTTTGGACCCCTAATTTCTGGAATGGCCCTCATTGCTCTTGAGTTACAGGTAGGCTACAAGGCACTGGGTATCTTTGTTGCTAACAGAGGCTCCACGTATTTCACAGAGGCCCCATGTATTTCATAGAGGCCGTAAAGCAGTAAGCACAGCCTAAGGCATGCTAACCTTGGAGGACAAATTTGCTTAAACTTGGCGACACAACATTACTTTGAGTATTTTTGTCACGCTTACAAACTGGATGCTGCATGAACTGTGTTGACCCCGCAGGTGCGCGCGACAAAGATCAACTCAGAGAGCCTCGGTTTCGATGGGGTTATGCGCAGACGGCGCTAATATGAAATCCCTCTATACATGTACCCTGTTATTTCTTCCAGAGAATATGGTGATCCTGGACCTCTCAGGGAGGGGCCTCAAGAGGCTGGACAGGGTGCGGCCAACGTCAGACGACGTCTCCCCGTCATCATGCACCACCCTGATCCTGGACAGGAACGCCATCTCCAAGATTGAACACTTGGAAGAATATCACATGTTGCAGCAGGTAAAGAAGACCTGTTTATATTAGGAACTACAGGGCTTTACATGTGTCTCCCATGTACTATGCTACTTAAAATGCATCCTCTTTGTAACCAGTGGGAAACTTAAGATTCTTAAGGGGTTCCTTGTTAGGTGCGTAGATGAGTGTGTTCTCTCCAGTTGAATTTGTTGGAGTTTGTTGACTCTACAACCCCAAATTGGTTATTTCTTCCATAAGTAGATGTAGCTTCAATTGGTTATTTTTTACCATGATGAATTTGCAGTAGATTAGTCATGGCAATATTCATAGTGACCAGTTTCTACAAATCTAAGAGCACTTGAAATGAAACCCTTTGAAAGTTCAATTTTGGGATGAGATTTCATACAAGAACATATCCTGCCCTAACTTTAGTAGCCACTCTGCTGTAGCAGGACCAATTGTGGTAAAGCGTCTTGCTTTTGGACACAATCATCAAGCACCCTTCACAATTCTCCTACCTGCTTTTCCATTTGTTTCTATACAGGGCTTTCACAATTCACCTGTCCTCTTATTCCTCTGACCTGTACTTATTACAGTTGTCTATTGCCAGCAACCGTCTGGTACGCATGAGCGGCGTTTCCAGGATAACTACTCTACGCGTGCTTAACCTCCCCAACAACAGCATTCAGTCCATCGAGGGCCTGAGGGACCTGATTAACATAGAGTGGCTGAACCTCTCCGGAAACAGCATTAAGGTAAAGCAGAATTCATTTCGGTTGGACCGTCCTATTTGAAAAGTTTATGAAGGTGAACAAGGAAATTGACTGGATTGGGATTTGAACCTGCAGCCTCCAGAATACTGTACCAGTGCTCTACCGACTGAGCTACCCAGCCCTAAGTTGATGGCTCTTCCCATTTGTCAATATCTTTGGGGGCGCTAGCCAGAAACGGATAAACCTGAAACACCTTATAGCCAGGGAGCACACCCTCTTAACATGTCTACATGCACATGGTGTTTCAGGTTTAGGGGCTTCTGGCTAGCATCCCCTAACATAGATATTGACAAATGGGAAGAGCCACCAACGTATCGGACTGGATAGCTCAGTTGGTATAGCAACGGTATGGTATTCTAGAGGCCGCAGATTCAGATCCCGCTCCAGTTGATTTCTTTGTTCATCTTTATAATCATTTGTAAGCACCTAGTCAGTTTCGCTATATAATTTGTTTCTATTTTAAAAACGTTTATTTTACCGGTGATCAAATGTCTTCGTAAAGGTTTCCAAACCAAAATCAAGTTGTGTACTGTCGAAAGAAGCAGATTAACAGAAGCGCAAGTTCAAGTCGATGTACATGTACATCTGAGCTTTTCAGATCTGTATCGGTAATTTCCTAGTTTGTCGGCATCAATCTATCAAACCCTTTGACCTTGCTGATCCCAGGCGATTGATCACCTCAACTGCAACATCAAGCTGAAACATCTAGACCTGTCCGACAACAGTATATCGTCGGTAACCGACGTCTCCATGCTCACCAACTTAAAGGTAAGGCTCTGAAGAATCTGAATACAGATTGAAAAGTCAGGTAACCGCCGGGTCTGTGACAAGAACTCTGTTGGGTTTTAGGTCAGTTGTTGTTTCAGCGACACGCAGAAAAATAACGGCTTGTTCTCAGAATGGGCAAGGGAAAGCCGCCAGAAAAAGCATGGAGAAAGAAATTAATTTGTGAAAATCTTTTAACGGAAAGTGTAACAAACACAAAGACAGGTACACTACCTGTCCGAAAGCACATGTACATGTACCAGACTTTAAGGAGGAAATTTATCGTTTCCAGAAGCAGTTCAACCATTTCATTAGTCTTCACATTTTGAAACTGAGCAAAGGAGCTGTTAATTGTTTAGGAAAACTACTGCAAACATGGAGGTCTTGTAACCAGAACAGTCAATTTGATTTTGGGGGAGGGGAGAGGTTTGTGCAGGGCCTGCTTGTTATAGTAACAGTTTAATAGACATGTGCCAGGGCAGTCTTCGCCAATTTTGCATTAATGATCTGAGTTTACCGAATACGTTAGGCACACTTGATATTCAAAATGAAACTGGCAAACACAGTTGCATAATTTGCAAACCAACCCCCAACCTTTCAGAAGGGAATCCGTCAAGAGTCGAACATGTTGCAGCCTCCAAACGGCACACCTCTGATACTTGGGGGAAAAAATTAACAATTGAGTCCAGTCATGCAAAGCAATGGCTCTCTGAGTTCCTCCTAATCATGCAAAACCAGATGTTGCATTTGTCAGATTTCTAATGGATATGTCTAAGGTCGTGGAAACTGAAGTGACTACTGAATGCGTGTTGGTGTTCCTTCGCTAATTAATAGCAGGGGTAAGGAGCTACTGTGTCATTTCCAAGATGGTAGGTTATCATCTTGGACATCAAACAGGTTCCGATTTGTCGGTCTGGAAGTTTGTGCTTTTCGCTCCAAAAACCTCCACCCAGCTGAGAATCAACAGGAAATTGACAATCAGTGTGACAAGGCATCACGGCTATATTGAGTCCGGCCTGGGGGGAAAACACGTCAGTGCGTGTTTCAAGCGCAGGACAAACGTAACAGCCGGGACCAGTTTTCCACGGTTTTTTATTTTAAACTTTTTCACACTGTTTAGGTCATTAATTACCCTATATAACTTGAGGCGAAAAATTTAGGATAGGCTGTAAAACCCACAGTGTGTAATCATTTGTTTGAGCCCTGGCTAGACAGACAATGGAGTTTTGGAGTGTGGCACCTGTCTATTGCCATTTCCGGATTTACTCGGCTGTGGCTTGAAATGACACGCAACTCTAGGAGAAGTGCTTGCAGCCACTGTTGTGGACTACTGTAGTCCATAATTCTGAGCCGCAGCCGTAGTTCAGACAATTCCCGGGTGTGCAGTTTTTTGTTCAGTACCTGCAGGCGAACAGCAGGAGAGCAAAAAGGGCTCCCAGTAGGGAACGTGAGGGGGCAGAGTTTAGTGGGGAAGCTACACCCACAAATCCCAATTATCCCATACCCAAAATGTTTCATTTAGTCCCCCGAAAACCTCTTGTTTCTGGTCAGGAGCTTTCTCCAAAAGTGGTCCGGCAACACGGCTTCTTTGTTTTGGTACCCTCACTTTTTTTTTCTCTGGAAATGATGCATGTATAACATGCAATGGCCATTGTGACTGCATGCACACTTGACACCAGCGGCTATCAACACTGAAATAGACTGCCCCTGCACTTTTTATTGTTTAAAAGCATTTTCAGCTTATACATGTACACAGGATATAAGACCACCTCGATTGTCTGGTTCCCAGATGTAAATGTATAATACAGAAATGACATCTGAAAAAGAGCACCCAACTAAATATAGCGGGAACTACAGGGACTCCTTCACAGTACATATTACTCAATCAAAAACACGTTAAAATTATGCAGTAGCAGGATTCCTGTTGATTAAGCAAGTTTGGCTGCATTTGGACATCGTTTTATATCGAAATGATAAACTTTTTTTTATTTTGCTGAAGCATGGGTCTACAGCGACGCTCGTGCTGACCAGAAACCGGAGACTTTGGCGGGGGGGTGTCTCAGGGAGGCTTAAAGCAGTTTATTTCCTTTGGAAATCTGCAAGACTGTAAAAGCTATGGGCAGGATGCCACAGAATGTTAATAAAACAAAATCCATTAACAACATTCACTGTTTCAAACAGTTGCACCATGTTCCATTCATACTAGGTCCAGCTTGCCTGGCGTAGCAGTACCATAAATTGAACGCCTTGCCAGGCCTAATAACCTTGCACATCCTGCCCATTAATAAACCCTTTCCTGATCAGTAGCAACTGATGATTTGCTTTAACCCATGGTCATACCGGTATATGTACATGTGTGTTTAGAGAGCATCAAGTACATCTCCCTCACAGCTGTGACATTGAAAGGCCATGGTCAAATGGCTCTGCACAGGACAGGCGCTGGACATGTGTCGCCTGCGTACGTGTACATGTTATTTTGACTTAAATTTTGACCTTGATTAATGTTGACGCACAAACGTTATCAGATGGCGATGTTGGGGAAGTTGGTGAAACACTGAAATTTTGTTGGTAGTCAGATGGGCCTTGGTAGGTTTATGACTGAAGACTTAGGTTTGGATTGTGGCCAGATCCGTTGATTTTGAAAGGATTTTTGCTGCGGCATGAAGGATTTTTCAGTAGATTCTGGAAGTTTCCCAGCACGCATGCCTAAGGATTGAATTGGTGTTGAAGACCACAACCTTGTGAATCAACATTTCAGGATATATAAATAACTCGTCCACACACACACAAAAAAAAGCGACAACGCCCTGCGTTCATCTCCTGACCTCCCGTGTTATCATGGCTCAGCAGGAAACAAAACTCCAATCAATCGGTCCGTCTCTTGCACCCCGCCCCTACCTAGAACAAAGCACAGATGGCTAAGCCCGGCAAAGACCCAAAAAAAATATATTCTCAGCAGCCCCCTCGATAGGGAGCTGGTTGCATACATGTACAGGAAGCCGCCGTAACGCGGCTATGTTTAGTTGCACTATATGTGCACAGTGAGTGACCTGTCACAGAGGGGTAGCATTCAGTTCTAATGCAATTACGTAGTCGTCTGGATGGAAAGTCTAGAATCAAGTGAACCTGTTGCTTCTAATGCGAAAAAAACCACAAAACCTTTGTACATGTACTTCCATGTATTTAGATGTAACCTTTAACAGACTATTAAAAGTGTAATGTGGTGCTGTGTGTATCACTTGTGTGGTTCCCTGTCTTGGACAGTGATTTATGCTCGTATTCAAAAGCAACTGTTTTAACTTTCAAATGAGTATACTTTGATGGACATGTGCACTGTAATCATATACCGTAGGGTACCTGGATGCAGTTGTCAAGATCTGTCAAGAAAATCCATTTTTTTTTCAGACTTTTTTATTTTCTGGATGTGCTTCCGGGTATGTACTTGTACAGGTATTCCAATGCTCAAGCAGAAAGGATGATGATATATTTTTTTCAGTGTTCGTACTTGGGGCAACTGAATTTGTAAACACAACAAAAAATTTCAAAAACTGGCAGAGGATAACAGGTACACGTAGGACTGTTTTTACATTTTCATTATTTGAAAAGCTTCTGTTCATATATTGGTACTTCATATTTTTTTGTACTCTGTCATCCTGGAAGTTGAGAGAATTTCAGTCCTGTGTTCAAAGGCTTGATAGGTACATGTATCCATAACTTTCTGTTGTGAATGGCACTTGTGCACTCACAGGAGATGCAAGACCCCAAATGATAACTCACGACAAGTTGTGACAGGAAACAAGGGATTTCAGTTTGAAAAGCACTCCCAATTTGAGCAGCTGCAGGGAAATGATGATTCGTCCGGGTTCGGGATCAGCCGCCCCCTCCCCCTGAGAAGATGAACAGCTGTGTAATGGCGGTAACAAGCTTCAACCTTGACATCCAGTCATTGACATGCGTCAACCTGGGTTTTTTTTTCAATAATAATAAGGAGCATTTATATTACGCAGATACCATACAAATATACTCAACTGCGCATAACAATACCCATCACTAGCAGAAATGAAAATCAGGTGTTGGAAAAAGCTTCCTGAAGGAGATGACAGATGAAAGAGATTTTGTAGTCCTCGTATCCTCCATGTTTGATTGCTTAAGCTCTATTTTTTTTTAAGAGCGCTTTTCCAGTGACCACGAATTTAAAGTATGAGAGCCAGTTTGTGAAACTTTACATATACATGTACACACTACATGTATATGTACATGTACCTCAGATTGGCTGGTTTTCCTTTTGCCTGATAATCGACTGAAAAACTGTGGGTAGTGCATTTTGTTTTTCCCCCCAAATACCAGACATAAGTTACTGTTTGTGTAAATGGATTGCACCTTTAAAAGAAGCAAAAAGGTTGGTGATTCACTGAATATGCTGTAAATTTGAATGAAAGTAGGATTTGCATCTCCATTAAATCCCTTTTTCAATTAATTTTTGCTGTTTATATTTCTTCTATTATGCATTGTTCATTTTGAATGTCTTCAAGATCTTTTGTACGGTGCTTTTCTTTAGCTATGGTCAAAAGTAACTCTGAAGACTCCTCAGTGTCATTACCTTACAGTCAATGTCTTCACTTAACAGCCATTGTCCTTACCTAACAGCCAGTGTCCTCACTTTACAGTCAGTGTCCTTACCTAACAGTCAGTGTCCTCACTTTACAGTCAGTGTCCTCACTTTACAGTCAGTGTCCTTACCTAACAGTCAGTGTCCTCACCTAACAGTCAGTGTCCTCACTTTACAGTCAGTGTCCTCACTTTACAGTCAGTGTCCTCAATTTACAGTCATGATCCTCACTTAACAGTCAGTGTCCTCACCTAACAGTCAGTGTCCTCACTTTACAGTCATGGTCCTCACCTAACAGTCAGTGTCTACACCTAACAGTCAATCTCCTCACTTAACAGCCATTGTCCTTACCTAACAGTCAGTGTCCTCACCTAACAGTCAGTGTCCTCACTTAACAGTCAGTGTCCTCACTTTACAGTCTGGTCCTCACCTAACAGTCAGTGTCTACACCTAACAGTCAGTGTCTGTTCAATCGCAGCTACATGTACTGGCGGGGGTCGAAAGTGTGCACATTTAGGGCAGTAACTTTTTAGATGCTTATTTGCATATGAACTGACCCACTTTCATTTCCCCTTCTCTCCCTGCCCCACGTATGCTGCAGACTTTGTTACTTCATGGCAACATCCTGACCTCCCTGAGGAGTGTGCCGGCCTACTTCCCCACCCGCATTGAAATCCTGTCGCTGGCGGAAAATGAAATCTCCGACCTAGCAGAGGTAAATGAAGGCAGTGGCTGTTTCTTTTCCTTCACCCCCACGGATAGAGATTAACTGAAAGTGAGATCTAAATCCGAAAATGCAAAAGTCGCACCTTGTTACTTGGCAGCAGTGACTCACTGGACTTGATAACTTCTGCAATTGATAATTTATCCTTGCGGATAATGGTACTGTTGCAGAAGAGGGGCCAATCTCATAGAACTGCTGAAGCACAAAACAACCTTGCTTAAAAAACCAAAGGTTACCAGCTCAAAATCTATGTGACTGTCATGCTAACCAAAAGACAGGTAAATACCATTCCAAAACCATATACATCACGTGGAGTTTTGGCTGGTAGCCTGATTTGTCAAGCAAGGCATTTTCACGCTTCAGCAAATTTTGTGCTTAAGCAGCTCTGTGAAATTGGCCCAAGTATTTGTGAATAGACTGCCAAACAGAGCCTATTCATGTTTTCAGATCACTGTGCTCCTTGAAGTCTCGTGACATCTAAGTCCAAGTTCAGTTAAGAGAGCCTTCAAATATTGAAGTTTGTTGCAGTTTAACTTAGTGAGGTTGTCAGGTTTCTGTACTGCAAGGCTATGTCCAAATGTTATGGCTGCGGCTGGAAATGACGCATGCACCTATGGTTGTCAGTGGCTAAGGGCTGCATTCCATTCCCACAGACTTGGGTGCTAAGCTCAGCCGTAGCTGCTCAGTTTGGACACAGCCTTAGCCCGCTATTTGACTACCAGATTTTACATGTACACGTACATGCTCACAGCCTGACCTTTTCACCTCGGCCATACACTGGGAGGTGGTCAGAGAGGTTCAGTGGAAGCTTAAGTCGTTAAACTGTCTGATGGATGTGGCTTTGCCCTGGATAAAGCCCTTTCCTTCAGGCGAGATAGGCATATCCCCTGCAAAGCTGTTGATGGCCATCAGATACATGTATATTCCCCAACTTCACTTAAAGGGGCTGGACTCGGGTCCGAGACTTACTTCCAATCTAACCACTAATTCTTCAAACATGTGCTGATCATGTGCTACATTTTAAAATGATCATTACATGTACTTCTGTTAATGAAGCACCAATATTGCATCTACGCTGTTATTTTCTGAATTTTTCATGTACATGCATGTACGTGTATGTGACCTAAAGTGGATACTGTCCAGCCTTGGGCCAACATCATAGTTCATTCAAGGGCGGACTTGGGAGGGCATTTGGGGGGGGGGGGTTGTTTTGGATATAAAGCATAAACAGTTTTCATTTTTTTAATGTTGAACCAAATTATGGCCTTTCTGAGGATTGAAGCTGCGTTTGGGGACTCTTTGCATGCTTTTGGAAGGGAGGGGAGCGAAACACATGTGTACATGTAGTCTTCGTGAAGTTTCCTTTATCTCATTTTTCAAAAAACGAAAAGGTTTTTGCTCCTTGGGGGTGGGGAGTGCCATGGTGCCCGTTGCCTCAATCCCTCCCCCGGGGTGCACCATTGAGTTCCCTACAGGCATCCACTGTGCGTTGTAAGCGTGAAGAAACCTGCGGAGAGGAAACGTTACGTCTCCATTTGAGAGGCAGTCTGAAGCACAATTATCGCAGGTAAAAAAAAAGCCAGATTACGGTAGGAACTGGAGAACCTGTTGAAAGGTATCGGCTTGAATGGGACGCGCATATCACAGAATTCATGTGGCGCTGTTCCAGCCTGACTTCCCACCTGTTTTCCTGCGTTGTGTCGTCAAACATCTGACCGTCCATCTCATTGTTGCTTCTTTCCTCCACAGGTGTCCTACCTGTCCTGCCTGTCCCAGCTTCAGCAGCTCTCAATCATGAACAATCCTTGTGTCATGATGGCTACCTCCTCATCGGACTTGTATCCTTGCTTATGCAATCACAGAACCCCCTCTGAAAAAAGCATGTCGCCATCTTGTGCACGTTGCCTTATTGTTTCCTAATATAGAATGTGTCGACAAGTTTTTTCTCAAAAGTTTTGTTGGGGTATCAGAACACTGTATTCTTCACAAGTACAATTTTGGCCCCAGCTACAGTAAGTAGATGTCATTGTTTGAAACCTCAACAAAGTTGAGCTATTATCAGAGTTCAAGAAATTTTGGAGTTACTGACCTTCCGAAGCAAACATTTGCCGAATAGAAATCAGGGGCAATTGTAGGCATGTCAGAGTATGTCAGAGTTTACCAGAAAGCTAGCTTCAGTGTGACTTTCATGCAGACTTCCAACCGAACAGTCTCCCCCCAAGGCACTGCAGTTTACTCAACCGTGATCCTGTCTCCATTGATGTGAATTCCCCGTGTCTACAGCCTCCCGGGGCTGATCAGAGGTGGCTTTTTCGGTGTCGGAACCCCGGAAGCCTGTGTAATGAATGAGTTTCCTTGACCTTTTCCTGCTGACCAGCTGTTTCGATTGCAGGCCCTACGTTATCAACTGGTGTTTGAGCCTGCGCATTTTGGACGGCTACGCTGTCACGCAGAAAGAAAGGTTAGTCAAGTTTAACCACCTGTGGGTATTCATTTATTTATTATTATTTTTTTTTAATCTTCAGACATAAAAACAATAAAAGTTATACAGGGGCTGTCTTGGAAATGCAAAAGTTAAAAAAACTGTCGTCCGAAGACAATAAATGAAATAAAATACAAAAACAGAAAACAACATCCCAAAACAAGTAAACAGAAAAAAATATTTAAATAAGCAAGTCAAAATCCTTAAGAACAGGAAAAAAATAACCAGCAGAAAGTAAAAAATTAAACACTAATAGGGAAAAAAAAGAGAGAAATGAAACCATTTAAACTGTTTGTGCAGTTTGCAACCGGGGGAATGGTAATGTTTACTCAGGGGTCGACAGTCAGTTTTTTTACGCAGAGGCTAAAAACAGCTCCTGGCCTTTCAAATTTCAGGGGTTTTGGGGAGCTATGTCACTGAACCCAGGAGCTGTTTTTGGTAAAGTCATATTCGGCCGAAAAATAATGGTTCTGCTTTCAATTACGTGGCTCTCAAAAATAGGGTCGGAAATTTTGGGGGGCAATTTTTCTGTGCTGATTGAATGGCATAATTGGGGACAAAAATTTCAAAAAATTGGTCTCAAAAAGTGATAAAAACTCAACTTAATCCTTGTAAAAAATTCTACAGTAGACAATTCACACAGTGCTGGTGAGGTAATGACGATGGCAAACTGGCCGACGTTGTCCGTGTATCGCGTGGGAAGCATCCGTGATGCATCCAATGGGCAGGCAATAAACCCTGTGCCGCGGCAGGATATTTTGTGGAAACACGCTCGCTTCAAGTGAGAGCAAAATCATCTCAAATTACAGGCCCGTTGTCTGACCAGAGACTGGGGGGGAGGGTTCGTCAAACCTGGAAGTGAATTTTTGGCACTGTGAACACCTATTTTTATATAAAGGCCTATCATAATGTGATTTGGAACACAACATCGAACAAGGTCCATGTTTGTCGCAAACCGAAGGATGCATTTAAGACTTGTAAGGCCCCTACTTCAGTTTTCAATATTCACGGCGTGTCGTAAATAGGCCTGGTATCTGAACTTGCTCGTCACCCAGCGCCCTGAATCGGGCGCTGGGTGACAAGCGAATGATATGAACAGTATTATTTAAAAAAATCTCAGAAAAAAATCCCATAAAAGTTTCAGAAGTTCCAAAAAAGTGATAAATTCTAGTAAATCATTACCTCCACTCACCTAACAAAAATTGTAAAAAAAAAATATTTTGGGGTGCATTTCATTTTGCATTTCGGAAAAAGAAATCAGGCCGAAATAAAATGTCATCAGATCTTTGTAGCGGGAATATAAGAAATGGACATTTATGAATCAGAATATTTGGAGTTTGATTAGATTTTCGGGTACTTTCGGGTACGCAATCTTCCATTGTAACATAAAGCAGCACATGAACGAGTGTTCTCATTAAACCTAAACTTTTTCAAGTCCTCAAAATTAGCAATTCTGGCGGGCTGGATTAGTGTCCTTGCTGGGTGGGCCAGGCGGCAGTTCTTTTTTTGAACAGTAACAAAGACCAGTAAAATGATAAACAACATGGACTTACACAACCGTAAAAGACAAAAATGAATAGACAGACCACACAATTTGTGAGGTGTGAACGGTATTTACGCTGCATTTACAAGTCTATTCAGTCTTTCTGGACTGGTTTTCTTCATTTCCAACACGTGAGCAGAGCCAATGTAAACAGCAACCAATGAAAACATGACTGCCTCGTCCCCGCGCCCAGAACGCTGCACTGCTTGTACACGTGGCTGGCTGGCCGGCGGCGGCAGCCTGGGCTAGGCTGCGCTGAGGCATGGCTTGGCATTTAGTGACTGATTTCATTCTTCAAATGTTGCCGTATAAGTCGCCCGGAGTATAAGCTGCAGAGACATTTTCAGCATGAGAATCAATGTAGAAGCTGCGGCTTGCATTCTGAAAATTAAGGTATATTAAAGTTATAATTTATTTAAAACAAAAACCACCAACGAGCGGAACTCAGAAGCGAGGGGGGAGGTCCGTTCATACTCCGAAACCCCCCCAGCCTACAAGCCTGAATTAAACTCCTGAACACTGAGAATACATACATGTACATAGACAAGAAACCAAGTTCTGTGAATTAACTTGCAAAAATCCTCTTGCAACATTGACGTTTTTTTCGACCTGCAGCAGTAGGGCCAATGAAGCGTAATCAACTTGGACGTACATGTTTAGACTGGTTGGCACAATTCCATCACGCGTTCTTTGGCATGGGCGTGGCGCGGCGGGAACCAGCACAGCTTTGCTTTAAGGGATCGAGCTTTGCGCACGGGTTTCTCCACTGCAACACGAAAGGGGCCTGTGAAAGAACAGAAGTTTCTTTTCAAAAATTGCAAATGTAAGTAGAAAGACATATAAAAACAGGCATTTTAATGTGAAAATAGGTTGTCAAACCTACTCTCACCACGGTTAATTTTTTGATGATTTCTTTGGAATAAAGTGAGTCATCACCTCAAAGAGGATCGGTAATGGTCTGGTGCTATTTTCAGTGCCTGACCTCTCCCTTTATTGCGGGTTACCATGTGCTAATAATGGTATGTCGGGTGCAAAGCAACAGTACGCCTGCTTAATATCGACCCCTGTTGACTTGAAATTTACATATGAATGGCAAACAGACAGTTAACACAAATGACAAAAGAATATGAACACAATAAATTAACACAATGGGTAGTATCATTCCGCAATGAACTCGTACGCGCTGCATTAGTTTTGGCTGAAAATGTAAACTTTTTTAAAATGGCAAGATGGCATAACCACACTCATTCACAATGTTGGATTGCACAGAGACTGACCCTCGGTGGTCATTTGTTCCAGATTTGTGCCAAGTTCTTACCGCATCGTTGCTCCTCCAAAACTCTTGAAGTGATGCCATTTGCTACAATGCCCCTTGAGGGCTCCTTACTGTAATACTGAGCCCCTCTCCCCCATGGACTATTGGTAGTTTAGGCCTCTGTGCATGTGCAAACAAAGTAGCAATCACCCAAGCATGGGGACTAGTACAGTTGTCATCTGCCGCACAGAATTTGCCAAAATATATTGAAACATCCTCCGAACGGGCACGGAACATTACTGCATGTTTACATGTCATCTGGTCTGAAGTGGTTTCCAGAAAAAAAAGAGAAACTCTTCCGCTTTGAATTGACAGCGGCACCACCGTGTTTATGTGCACCTTACAGTGGAAATGGAAGCTAATCCCACTTAATTAACTTGCGACATGCACTGTAATGATTTTCTTGCCATTTGTATGACAGCTCCACCCACCTGCTCCTTAATTTGTTTCGCCTCCCACGACGAGGATTTTTTCGTTTCAATTGTAAAAATTTAGAGTTTCCTGTTGTATATCAATTTAAGGGTGCTTGGAGGGCATAAATATGCTTAGAAGTTTGGGATTTTACACCGTAGATAGATCATTTCTGACCGATCCCTTAAAAAGATGTCAGACATAACTAGGCCCTCCATTGATTGAAATGTGACACCTACCTTGTGCTGTGGGTACGTCCGTGCCACAGCATTATTCAGTGTGTCGCAACAGCTCCCTTTCATGAAAACTGCCTGTGCAGTTTGCATGTCCAAAGACACATGTTCCCGTTACAGTAAAGATCTTGCTATACTGTATTCACAGCTTGGCTTTGTGACTGGTGTCAGTTTTCACTGGTAGTCTGTGCCCACTATTAAAGTACCCTTACCTGGGGCTAATGAGCTGACCGTATAGCACCCTCGTCAGTTCACACACAAAACCCGTATTCAGTCTTCCACAGTATCTTCCAAGACATGTTTCCTTTTAGCAGCAAAACTTGGCCCCTTGGCAAATTAAATTTTCCCTCTCCAAGTTAAAAAAAAAATCATGTCAGATTGACAAAATCATTCTGGCTCTCCAAATTTTACAGAGCTCCACCTTCATGAAGTACACAGGCTTCACTGTAACAGCCTAACTATTGTAGAAAAGAATTTTTGTCGTAACTTTACCCCTGTCCTTACTTTTCCCCCTCCAACTATATCTTAACAAAAATCACGTTGTTAAATGAAACCATCTTAGATCATCTAGGCTCTTCAGCTTACATAATGGCTTTGGTCACTACTGAGGCAAGGAGTCTTTCAATTGAAAAGACTTTTTTTCTCAAATCAATCAGGGAAGGATCTTGAGCAATTGTCATGCCCCGTTAAAGTCAGCTTGTCCCAGAGTTGGCAGACAGGAGGCAACCGAAATGTTGCTACCTTCTGGACCTGCACGCTCCAGCAGCGCGTTCAGGGTGCTTCCATGGAAAACAGAAGTGCAGTTTGCAGAGCAAATAATAGGAAATTAGTCTGGGGGAAGAGCTGGATGACCAGAGAGGAAGCAGAGGAAGGTTGCCGCCTATGGTCCTTGGATTACCCTAGAGTCTGGGACCCAGACCTCAATTTTTAATTGGACTGCCCATTTCCATCTGAGCAGAATATGTTGCTCAAAAGAATTACATTTGTGTACACGTATTAACAAGAACCAGACTGTGGATTGAAAATTTCAGTGATGGTCCCCAAAACTTCTTAATTTTCATCACTGGATTAAGTAGAACCTGAGTTACTGCCTTATCTCAATGGATCTTCATCCATGCAGATCTTCAGTTGTCAGCAAATTGCATGGACTTGCAGCCTGTTTGTTAATATTCCGCAAAATGTGTCTACGCATGGCTCAGTTTAGCAGGTCCACAATTAAGTAATTGGCTCCTGGTACCCGCGAGTGCCTTTTTAGGGCACTGCTTGATCTAACCCTAAGCAAAAGGATATTGGATACAATGTGATATGTGATGAAACTGGGATGGAATAAACAATCAATTATACCAGTAATTAAATTAACACTCAAATAAGACAGTGAGACAGTAAAATGTAATAAAAAGAACTTGCTTTAGATTTTGGAATGGACTGTATAAATATTCGTAGATTTTTGTACCAATTAAAGAATGTTTTCTTTGGTTCAGTTTGAAGGGAGAGTGGTTGTACAGCCAGGGCAAAGGTCGTTGGTTCCACCCAGGTCAGCATGCTCAGCTGGTGGAGTATCTGAGCCACACATGCCCACTGACCAACGAAACAGAGGTGAGTCTGTCGTCTCGGTCAATCTTGTAGAAATCCCCATTTTCAAAGTACCCTTTAACCCAAACCGTGCTCCACAGTATTGCCCGTGGTTAGAAACTGCGCCCAGAAGGTCAGGGTTGATGTCACTGTTTGCATCTTTTGGTGGGTTGTTTGCTACACATTATACGGTGGTTTGTCAACACATAGGCTGCATCCGAATCTGTTGTCTAGAGCTAGGTCTACGTCTTCCCTCCATCGGAAATGTGTGGAGACGCGTAGACAATAGACCTAGCCGTGGCTCTGGAAGCTCGTTTCGGACACGGCCTTAGTCTCTGTTCTGAGATGACCTCGGACAGACTTTTGCACAACAGAAACAGTCAACTCCTTTGACTAAATCAAGCGCAGGCCGACGCACAAGTCTTTGTCACAAGGAACAAGAAAAGCAAATGATGACAGAAAGCCTTTGTTACTATTTGTACAGCTCCTTACTTGAGACTGATGACTTGCGAGAGAATTTCAGTCGACATCAGAGGACGTGACTTTCACATCCTCAAAACAAACTGTGCTGGCAGTTTTGTGATAACTCCAAACACAGATTTTCCCTTTGGTTCAGAAATTCAATTTCCAACAAGAGGCTGATTTCTGCATTGCCTGTCCCTGCACCTCGTCGATATATCACATCCTGACGAAACAGATACACAGGCAAAGCAGAAAAAGCCACCGCTTCCGATGATTCAATTACATCCAGCAAGTCGGGCGTGAAGATGCACGGCCGCCTCGCAAAGAGTGCATGGCATCAAAGGGCACGAAATGTCACACAAGCCTAATCCTCAATTATCCTCCCAGTCCGCTCCGCCCCTTGTGGGTGTCAGTGCTAACCCTAGTAGGACACTCCTTGCTGCTCTGAGGTCAAGGTTCAAAGTCACCATGCTGCCAAGCCGAAACCATTGCTCAGCAGTCCCTGCTTTGCCAAAGAAAAAAGCTTGCACGAATGACAAACCCCGCACACAATAACATACCGGTAGATGTACTTGCGCAGAACTGGACCAGATTCTCATCACAGGTCAGAAATGTGTGCCTTCAGTGGCACGTTTTGAAAGAGAAATTCCAGCTCCATGTAATGTCTTGACTAAAAGACACCAGTATTAAACACCGTTGTCCCACGCCATGCCTCTCCTCGCCCTCCTGAATCTTAGCTAAACTGCTGCAAGATATCATTCTGAAGGTTATGGTTTGTTACTATGGTTTGTTACTATGGTTTGTTACTATGGTTTGTTACTATGGTTTGTTACTATGGTTTGTTACTATAGTTTGTTACTATAGTTTGTTACTATGGTTTGTTACTATGGTTTGTTACTATGGTTTGTTACTATGGTTTGTTACCGTGTATTTGCAGAAGACCAATATTCTAGGATCTCGATTCAAATTATTTCAGAGTTGCGTTTCGAGTTTTGCCCAACTTCAGCATCCATCTGATGGCAGCTATGCAATGTTGCACACTGATTAAAGAAGGCAAGCATGTGTCTTTTGTCAAAAAGAACCGAACTACTAACTGCAATTTCCACTACTGCGTCTTTAGACACGTCGTTGGAAATGGCCCCCTTTCACTGCTTTCTTCACAGTGACAGCTTGCCCGGAGAATGAGTTCACAGGGAGCTTAGTCCCATAACTAATGTATTCTTTTAAACCGAGTTGTCATGCTTTTCAATAATAATTTCATCAGTTACTTCATGGACAGCTGCAAATGCGGAACTGTACCTTTAAAATTTGTCTCCTGGAACCCTGCGACAGGTTCTCATGTATTTCTGCTCTGTTAGTCTCAGATGGCGATAAAAAAGATTATATAAGGATTTATCACAAAAAGAGCTTGAATGATGAGATGAAATTTATAGAGGTCCGTTTCTCATGTCAACTGTTGCCCTGCTTAGTTAAAAATAAACCCTACTGCTGAACAGATTGATGAAATCCCCCGTCCAGGTCCCCTCAGATGGCCCTGAGGGGTCAGCAGGCAGGACATTGTTATCGTTAGCGTGCAGCCAGGATTCCCCTTCCTCTGCTCCCCCACTCTGGTTGATGGCATCACGGCATCCGCCACTGAGGATCTCTCAGTCAGCACTCATTAAGGGGCCGTGTGGCACGGGCCGAGGGGTCTCGCTTCCTGTCGCTGCGGCCCCCTGGCTCTAATCGGGGCTGGCAGAGTTTGGCGACACTCGACTCGGAGCTGTCTGCTCTATCATCGACCTTCACTAAATACGCATCTACATGTACACACAGAGGTTATTGATACAAGTATTCTTTTGGGTTGAGTGTTTCTGTGGCTAGTGTATTTTACAAATGTGATGATTGAGAGCCCCAAGCTGGGCTGAGAAGGCGTGCAATTTTCCCAGCAACGCAAGCTCCTTTGGTGGGAACTTGTTCTTCAGCGGTTCACCAACGACTATGAAATGCATGCCATATGGTTGCTTCGCTACCAACAAAATGAAGACTTCTGACCAACATGGCTGTTTTCAACTGATGAGGGGGTGCTTCTGCTCAAAGCGGATTATTGAAAAGTTTTTGGAAAACCTCAATCGTGTTGGTTCAGTGCGTCCAGCTAGTGAAATGCACAAGAACCCTCCCTTCTAACCCCTTTAAAAAATCCGCAGTTAAAAAATCTCCCAAGCCTAATAACCAAAACCTGCTGTGGACATGTACATGTAGGAACATGTACAAAAGCTCCGTGTCCTCATACCTTGCGCTCCCGTACAATTTCCATGAATGCTCTCTACCTCTTACATACATGCATGTGCAGATGTGAAGTGCACTGAAGATGTGTCTGTGGAAAGACACATTAACGCAGAACCTTTTGTTTTTCAGCATTTTTGTCAGCAAGTGTCCGAAATCATGTAGAATCAACTGCATTCCTGGATACTGCAGCATTCTCCAAAAAACTCCATTCACGGTTCGGAGCTTATGGTGTAGTTCTGTCTGGAAGACAACCGGTTGTCAGTGGAGGTATTCATCTTCGGGCCTTTAAGAGGGTTGCACCTTCATCCGCCGTTGGAGAAATTACATGTAAAAGCAGTCTGCTTTGAAAAGATCATTTGGCAGATGTCAGCAGCTTTTGTACTGTGCGTTCTTTGACTCGTCCACCGATTTTCCTAAAAGGCCAAATGCCTGTGTTTGAGAGTTTAACAAAGAATTAGTCCCTGACCTTTTCTGCGTCTTCTTCAGCACCTGTTGTTCATGCACGACTAGATGTACACAAACACAGGGAACAGCCCCCCCCCATTCTATCAGAGCTGACATGAGTATGGGATTAGGCATCGAAGCACAGCATGGCATTAAAACGTAGGGCAGCCCTCAACCACCTGTCAGGACACCCTGTCAGGATACCTATAAATACGTCGGGTGGTACACACACATACCAAATGAAGCTTCACGGTTTCGGGGCATAGTGCCTGAATTATTTTCTGCTTCCTTCTTCTTCCTTTTTTTCATGTCAAGAAAGGTCGCCAAAAAGTCTTCACGCAAAGATTTTACGCAGTGGTTTTAAGACACGCAAATGTGGCTGACCCTTTTTTTTTTTTGCAAAGTCTGGGCAAGCCAGTGTATAACGTGTTGAGTTGGGAGTGGCGAGAATCAAGCTGATTCAAATGGCCTGTTGTCGAGGTTTTATCCCTGTGTTGTCCTTAACATGGTTCTGTACATGTATCCATAAACATGTAGAATTTTGAGGGTTAAGTTACACTAATCGCCCTTGCGTGCATTTGTAGCCTCAGTTCAAATGACAAGCCTATAAGCTTTGGTACTTAAATACCTGTAGACTTGGCACTGGGTATATTGAAAAATGTAAATTTAGTTGTCATTATGTGAAAAATCCAATTAACGATGGAACAGAAACGAGCAAAGATTTTAAGTTATCTTTTTGAAATGTTTCTTCACATCATACTGGTCAATTTCTTTATTGTAATGCGGAGTTTGGGACTTTGGGAATACATGCTTACATTTTTTTAGTAAAATGTTTGAATAACGCTTCCTGTATGCATAGCTGCAGTCTAAAGAGGACGAGAAACTGGTCAGGGTCCTGAAGCAGCAGCGACTGCACCAGAAGCAGTTACAGCAGGGCCCCACCCAGCCACACCCTACACCCCCCGAGCACCACCACCCGCACCGCTCCCCACAGCAGGCCCACCACACGCCAACCCCCACACACCACAGGCCGCGGTCCATGGCAGCCTCGCCAATCAAGCACTCGCCTCCGAAGAGTACCAAGATCCCGGCCAAGAATGCTTCCCCAAAATCGACGGGCGTGCCCGCTCCCGTCTCCCCATCGCCTCAGGGCCCGGCGGACGGGCGACTGCCGGGCAAGGCTGCTTGGGATTCAGGCCACGTGCAGTTGACCCTCAAACCAGCCTCAACGGAACGAGAGAGCTTGTTGGACATGGTGTTGCAAGATCTTGAAGGTATTCTACCAAGGACCATTTTGATATAAATATCTTCTTAGTGTCAACCAATGAAGCAATTTTACTGGAAAACTTGGCGAACTCAAAACCTCTACCGTTCTTGGGGCCAGTTAAATACTCTTTGTACTTAACACGTGTAATTTCAAGGGGCATCAAACCACAGTTTGCGAGTAGTGTTTTTGCTCAACTGCCCTGAAGCATTCAAAATGTTCAAAAAATGGTGGAATTTGTAGAAATCGGGAAAGGCACAATTTTATTACGGAGCAGTAATGGTTGGAGCAACAGAATGTGAAATGAGAAACTGGCTTTATCCACAGTGTTTGATGTCAGTTGAGAGATAAACAAGGCCGGTAGTTTCAGTGATGCCACCATGTTGAGTTTTGTTTTGACAGATGAGGAAACTATGAGTAACAGCAGTCAGTTGGCCTCTGAGTCACTGTACTTGCCAGTCACCAATGAGGCCACACCTGGTAAGACCCCTGACCAGCGCCCTTCCACTGCCCCTCCCCACAACATCCCCTCCCGCGATGTAGACATGGCTAGCGATGCGGTGTCTCAACGGCCTGCAACAGCCTTCACCCCGGATCTGGTGCCCACCCCAGGAGGTCACAGAGACATGTCAGGTCTTCGGGGCCAGGGTCACGATCCCTATTTGAACGCCCATGAACCCACCACCGGCATCAGCAAGTATGAGGCCTACGACAGCCGGCCCGTCAAACCCCTGAACAAGGAGAAGGTCCCAACTGTGAAACTGACAGCCCACGTCTCTGCCAGCCCCAAGATGGCCCGCAAGACGAGGTCCCAGGGCAAAACTTCCAATCCAGGCACCCCCAACCCGGGGACACCCACTCGCCACCGATCACCCAACAGGGAAGGCCCCAAGAAGGAGGATCTGTACAGCAGCGCAGAGCTGAAGCGAATCAAGGAGATTGCCAACAGCCGGAAGATTGGGAAGACTCCGAACGCATCATCTACCCTGCTCACCCCATCCCTGTCTCCGAACACCAAGCAGAGCAAGAAGAGGGATAGGCGGGGAGTCGCGGTGGAAAGATCCGACCCCAGGGATCACCAGGTTGAAAGTCAAGCCAGACATCAGCCTCAGGAGTTGGGCGTGGCATTGCCTCAGGACATGGGTGTGGCATCCCCTCAGGAGGTTGGAGTACCATCACCTACTCAGGATGTTACCAGAGATATTCATTCAGAGAATGCAGCCAGAAGTAAGAGGTGAGGCAAGAATCCCTATGTTGTGTCATTGGAACAGATCATGGTTTAGCTTGTGGCCTGTAGGAAAACATTTCTGTGCGGCCTTTTTACGAATTCTGGAACTTCAATTCAATTTCAAAACAAAAATCCTTGTGGAATTTTACTGTCTTCATTGATCCTTACTCCAGTTTTATTTTACAGATATAAGTATCGCACCTCTGTTTGAACATAATTATTTAAAAATTTCTACCTGGGGAATCAAGAAGACAGTGTAATATTTGGGGTTTTATCCTTTTTACTCCTACCTGAAATTTATAGCCAGTTGGAAGAGAATTAAACCATGGAGAATGCTTTACACTCTCTGAGAGCAGGTTTCAAAAATGCAGACAGCAAGAATTTTAGCATTTTAGGGGTTGTTGTCCCTCCCCTCCACCCCCTTCCCTTCACTAGTTCCGAGCAAGAAGAAAAGGCAGCCGTCAAGATCCAAGCTTTCTGGCGCGGCCATCGAGCCCGACGGCGCGACCCCGTGGTTGTCGACACCCGCAATGCCATCCGAGTCCAGCGGGTGGACGACCACATCAAATTCCTCAACAAAGAGCTGGACAGGTACCATTCTCTGCCGTTAGTTTCATCCTTGGAGGGACCACTTGAATCCATTTTCCATTTGTTGACTCACCAAAAACAATTGGGTTCTGCGATGATGTGGTCCGTGGTGCTTTGGACGCCTGAGAAGGCTTATGGTGCCAGCGGTAGAGATGAAGGTGCGATGCGCCCTCAAGGGTGTACAAAATCCACAACCACATACCTCAGCAGACAATAGTTCTTTTGTCATGCCACAGTCTTGTTTTTCACCGAATTTTGAATAACAGAATTAAATTCAATAATGCCTTTTGAGAATGATAATTTTTTGGAGGTTTTTGACACCTTTTTCATAATAATGTAGGCAAATGACTGACGGACCTGAAGGACAAACAAACTGTTGCTTGACCAGTAAGACAAAGTTAGGGTGAAGCAATGCCTTTTCAAACTGAAGTGTTTTGCATTCTTTTTTAATCAAGGACAAGGCAGTTGTACGAGCAGGAAAAACAACTGCGTACTCTGCAGATGGAGGCGTTGAAACTGCTGTGGTCTCAGGTAAGTGACCCTCTAGGGTGTGGCTACAGAGAGGGTAGTTCGGGGCAAGCTGTACAAAAGCTTCCAAGATTTTATCGGATACCTGAACACCTCATGAATGATAAGTTCTCGCAAAATTGGAAAGGAATGGACAAGGGATTACTGTCAAGTTAAAGATTCTGAAGGGTACTTTAGCACTCTGCTTTGTCATTTAGCATAGTCTTCCACGTCTCAAACCGGTGGCTGTTCATTCTCAGGTTAAGACACTGCATGACTGGAAGCATGACATGGAGGTCAAAGAGGAGAGCCGGTCGGGCCGGAGGCAGACCAGGAGCGTGGCCACCTCACCGCTCTTTGCCGAGATTAGCGAGGGAGGGCGGGCGTTTGTGTTCCCCAAACCCCAAGTGGCCAGCCAGGTGGAGGCCGGCCAGGAAAGCCTCCAGCACCAGGTGAGTCCGGCCAGCAACGGCAGCGGTTCCATGAAATGCTGCCCACTTCTCCTTGAGGCAGCTTTGGGCAAGTTTGGGTGGCAACCATCTCTTGACTACAGGTTGATTTTTGCCTGGTGCACAGGGCCTAATTCCACGGCACTGCTAAGTAAAGCGTACAATTTTATGCACATAGAGTTCGTGCATATTTCATGAAGACCGTAAGCAGTGAGCACAGTGGAAAGCATGCTTACCTCAGTAGAAAAATTTGCTTAACTTGGTGACTCTCTGGAAATCTCTGTTCGTGCCCGTGCAGTTTTTGTGCTAAGCATGTCATATGCTCCCATTGAAAATCCTCATTGTTGAGCCAACTTTTTGGGCTGTGGTTATCAAAAAATTTCAAAATGATAAGCAGAGACGTGAAATTGGGCACTGATCATATTTTGTGCACAGCCAACAAAAGGTAGTGCCTCGAACTTAACCTTTCTTTGCCTGTCCAGAGTTATACTGGCTAACAGTGCCTGGAAAAAAAAGAACTCAAAGAAAAAGTCCTGGAAGTTTATTTTCTTTTTCAAGAAATGGAAAAATCATGGACATTTGTGAAAACGACATAGGTCGTAAAGAATCAGGGAGCATTTTAGGACAGATAATGCAATTCTGAGCTGAATCAACATTGCAGAATACCCACGCTGAGATGATTTGTAATTCTGAAGTGCAATGTTAGAAAGAAGCCTTTTGAACTCTCTTGTTGGTTTCAACAACAGGTGAAGAGGCTACAGGAGTCTATGGATGCCATTGTCAGCCTCATAGCAGCCGGTGGATTGCATGATGCACAGTCTTCAAACCAGCCGCCGCAGTCACCTTCCCCACTTCGCAAAATCAAAAGACCGCAGGTAAACCCTTATTGCAGTATTGTCAGGTGTATTTGAAGTGACTCCTGTGATGTGCATAGAAAAGAAATGATTTTATTTGTTTGTCCTGTTTCTTTGTCAGACTCTCTCATCGCCAAGTGATTCAGAAAGTTCCAAACCAAAGCCAAGCAAGCCAGAGAACTTGCGCACTGTGCTGCGTTCGGACACCAGCCTCTCCCTGAGCTGGGAGCCCTCAACTGTCAGTGAGGCGCCACTGTCCTCTGGAAACACTTCAGAACTTTCCATATGTGGCTATCGGCTGTATGTCAGCAAGGATGAGCGCCCTCTGGAGACGATTGAGGTGCCAACTTGCCAAGCCATATTAGGTGGACTGTTGCCAGGGATGTACAGGTCAGTCCGCAGATCAATGTGGCAAATAAATTTTGAACATGCTGTATCTTAGGATGTCCAAATCTCAGTAAAATATATTCACCCCAATTCCTACTCTCCCATTACAGATACACAGCAAATGCAAATACAAGATTCCCCACCCATCCCTGTCACACCCCTCTCATGCCCACAGGTATATAGGAAACAGAATTTTGGGCATAATTAATTCCCTACTTGCTTTGAACTGTTGAAAAAAGTGTTTATTATTTATTTTCTCAAGTAAAAGGGAAGCAAATTTTAAGGTGTTGCCAGTTCCAGTTTCCGTGTTCATTTCCTAATATTTCATGAATGCCACTGCAGGAAACCTGTCAATTGATTTCATGGAGAACCGCACTTGTGAAGATCAGAACCACCTGCCATTGTTTCAGAGTGATCATTTGAGAAAATATTTGGAAGAATTCCTCCAATCTGATTAGGGAAATCGACTTATCTTGAGGTTTATCTTGATACCATTTGCATTTCAGTTGGTTGTGTTTGAAGAAACAGAGCATTAAGAATGGAGTGTGGTATTTGGATCGTGTGCATAGGAATCATCCTTTGCATTCAGCTTTATGCATTTTGGAAATCTATTTTGTAGAAAGTAGCGGTGGGATGACAGAATCCAGACGTAAAGTGGTTGTGTGACTTTAGGTGCTTGGCAGGGTTCATTTGTGGGAATTTCTAACTTGCAAAGTTGTATTTATTAACCTTTGACTTGGGCAGATTTGCTGTACAAGCCTTCACGACAGCCAGTGAAACATCAGAGGAGTCAGATGCTGTCTTTGTTGGCATTCCTCCAACAAGCGAGTATGCTGAACCCAGCAAGACTGGAGATGCATGGGCTGAGGCTGAGCAACGTGTAGAAGGTGACATGGAGGATGCTGGTGAACGCGTAGATGGTGCTGTCACCAAAGATGACATCAGCACACAGCAACATCTGGAATTAGAGTCTGACGATGTGGAAGGCCAAGACACCCTTGATGATGCCCTTTGCAGTAGTCTGCCTCCATCCCCAGAACCGCCCCTCGTCCAATCTGTCATTGATGACTCCCAGATTGAGAGTATAGCCGCCTACACCGTTGCTCGGGAGATGAGCCACGCTATCGTTGAGCAGGCCTTGCAGGCAGCTCTGAGCGGGGTTGGCTCGGCAGGAGATGGGTCTGTTGGTGCTCACCTACCCAGAGATGATCCAAACGGGGATAGCTCATCAGGGGATGGGAACTCAGGGGACGGGGGAGGAAAAGGAGCAGTAGATGAAGCATCCAAGAGTCCAGGTACTGAGTCATCCCAAGATGGTAGCTCCTTTAATAATAAGGCTGGCATTACTTCGGTGCAGCAGCCTGTAGATCACAGTGTTTGCCAGTCGATTGAAAGTGTTCAAGCTGTCTTGGGTGCCGATGTCTTGCCTGCATCTCAACTGAGTGCCAGTCACGTTATGGCAAAGGATGATGGTGAGGAAGGTGATGATGAGGTCTTTTTGTTTGTAACGCATGACCAGAAAACCATTCCCAAATTCCCTCAGAGGGACCAGCTGAAGATGGCATCCGGGATAAACCCTCAACGTCAGCAGCTTCAGCAGGGATACAGCTCTGTCGATGGCCATGAAGGCGTGACCTACAAGGGCGACCTGTACTTACCTGTCTTCAGTATCGAAGGGCCCAACCAGCTCAGCTCAGCCAAGAATTCAGCATTCTCAACTGCCTGCAGTGTTCTGTCCATCAAGAGGCGAGCCACCGATCCTGTCAAGACGCAGAGTATGCAGTCCCCTGCCAGCCCAAAGACACGCTCTCTCCGGTCAGCTGATAACCCATTCCGAGGTGCCCGGGAGGCCATGAGGAACTTGTTGGTGCGGGACCACAGGAGCCGGAGCCCCTCCCCAAAGAGACCCTGCAAGCAGCGGTCGCAGTCCCACACCGACACAAAGCACCAGAAATCACCAGAGCTCCGCGAGCTCAAGCTCAAACCCAGCAAGCTGGCTATCAATTTCTCACCATCGCCACTGGACTCTTTTGCTATGGAACAATTCAATGCTATCAACTTTGATGACCGTCCAAAGAGTACCGAACTGGACGCTTTAAATTTAGAGCTCTCATCGTTGAAATTAAGTAAGGAGCATCTCAGGCACAACAGCTCTGTAGGGCTAAATGAGGTATCGAGGATAATGAGTAGTATTGAAGCAGATCCAAACAATGCCTCTTCTATGAATGAATTCGACAGGCCTCCAAGATTCCTGCGGCTGGCATCCCCAGAAGGGAATGAGGACAGAAGCGCCGAATCAGGTCTGCCAGGTTCCGTGGAGCAAAGCCAGTCCGAGGACTCCAGCTTTCATCCATCCCCAGCGGTGACTGCCGGTGACCAAGACATCGAACCAGCTCCTGGTAGGAGGTTCGTCAAGAACGGTTCGTCACACAAGAAGAACGCTCCTGCTGGTGCAGCCAAGCAGATCAAGGACACCCACCCTCCAGACCCCTCCCAAGAGGCTGCCAGGGCAGGCCGGAGGAGCCCCACGAGTCTGGGGTCACCCGGCAAGAGCAGGCTGCCCAGGATGTTCTGTGGGATCCCTGAGCCCAGGGCAAGGTCAGCTTCTCCATCTACCAAAATGGTATCTCCAAAGAAGAAGACCTCGCATTTCTTCAGCAGCGGAAAGACCAAGGCAGACAAGGTAAATCCCAATTGCTTTCTCACAACTAACACCCTATTCTCATCTGTCCAGAAATTCAAAGCATGTATTTGGTGTAGAAAATTTCAGAATCTGTGTACACTTAAGATGGTTTTGGTGGTGGTTTCTGTCATGTTGGCCAAACAAAAGATTGAATTTAAACGGAGGTACAAATTCTGGCATTTGGACTTACATATACATGTACACGTATGGAGGGACAGTACTCACGGACATAACATCACCTCCTCTGGATGGGAATGACTTACATTCAAGACAAAGTCTCAAGTTATCTGACTTTGAGTTAACAAGAGTTTACTGTATTTAGAATGGAAGAGATGGCTTGTTTCCCCCCCCCCGAGCTTTTTTAAGATAAGAACTAATCAAGTGCCGATAAGAGGTGGAGAGAGAGAATTAGCTGTACAGGTGCCCAGTATCTATGGTCAAGTTAAAAGCAATTTTGAGTTATATCTTACTAGAGTTTACTGTAATCATGAAACAAACTACATGTACATGTATATAGGGAAGCTGACTAGGTGCTTATACATGTAAGTGATTCTAAAGATGAACGTAGAAGTTAGATGGAGCAGGAATTGAACTTGTCGCCTCCAGAATACTGTACCAGTGCTCTACCAGCTGAGCTATCCAGCCCTGTGTTATTGGCGCTTCCCATTTGTCAGTGTCTCTGTTCATGTCCATGTTTACTATAAACGGAAGGGGTGGCTGGACCTGCCTCCCTCCATCCCACAGCTTTTTTCAGGGAGCAAGATTACATGCAACTAGCAACCCCCCCCCTCTTCCTCTTGGAAGTACCAGCCACAACCAAAATAATGAAAGCAAAACAAGCAATCCAGTTCAATTTCTTCCAGTCACCATTTTCAGTTTTTTAAAATTTTAATCCATTGCCATGCCGTCACATTATAACGATATGTACATCAGCTCGAATGACTCATGCGCAATGCACGTTTGTCGCTCGAAACAGTTAAAAATTTACAACTTAAAGCAGACGTAAAACTACGGCACGTACATTTTTCACATACACCACGAACCACAGTGACCTATTTACTGTTTGCGTTCAGAGATCATATACTTGAATTGCAGTAAATTTCAAAATTATTGTACATCCAAAATAGATTTTGTTGTTCTTACTGTTAATTTTTTGGCTTTAGTTCATGTCTAGTGAATACATGTAATGATGTAGGTTATCCTTCATTTCTTATTTAAATTATATTACACACCGAATTGAATACTCTGGGTTTTTAGCATAATACTTACATGTAGATGAAGAGTTCATGTCACAATTTACGCGTACAGTCACATGTATGTAAATTACCGGTATAACTGCCATTTTAGTTAAAATTGATGGAATTTGTACTAAAATATACACATACATTTTACATGTTTGTGCTGTACCACACCCAAACCGAAAAAAGTGCCAGCCACAGTGTTGCCAATATTGAAGGGTTTGGCACAGTGCATTGTGTAATTAAGCGATTGCAGAAACTTACCGCGCACACATACAATGATTTGTCAGGTTGTACAGTGCTTGTGAGTGCAAACGCATACCTCTGTAGAAAGCAAAATGAAAGGCCATAATGCAAGGCAGTCTTGTCTTCAAAGCCTTTACTGGGGGGTCACGTTTATACATGTAGCCATCATTTGTTTGAGATTTGGTCACATTTCAATAAAACCGGATCACCCAAATAATGTGAGGGACTCAGAGGTCAAGAATTGTCATCCACGTGGACTGATTTCGCACCGTAACAAGCACAAGTTTCTGGTCCCACGGTAAGACTTTTTCTTTACCTAGCATTCAGTGCACGTCACTGAGATGACTTCCATTATGTAGTGATGCAGGGTACATGTACATAGATGTACATGTGTATACCGTACTTGTATAATACCACATGTAAATGTACATGTATATGGTTGGTACGTACAGCGACATGTACATGTATGCATACCGGAAGGTGGAAAGGCATTTCTCATAGATACACCAACTTTATCGTCTAGTTTGGGTTGAAAGATTGCATCAGTCACCATGTCCAGTGGAAGTAAAAGTTTACCTCTGAATTTGATGCCCGTCTTTTTCCTTCACTTTCTGGACCTCATATCCAGCAGTCAAAACTAGTCTTTGTTTTTACTTGGTAGGAATATTAATTAATTTAAGTACCGATACGTGTAGAGCATGGTTTTCTAACTAAGAATCACGTTTAGATTGAACCCTTGTTGATAGGGCATGTTTTGAGTCTGCTGTCATCATGTCTACAGTACATGTACATGCACCAATCAGAAACAAATGATGTACCAGTACCAGTGAAGTCGTCTGCTGATGGTTCATTCCAACTCGCCACAATGTAGGCCGGTCAGCGGCAGATATCACATTCTGCCTGCAGGCCCATGTCAAAATGTGGCACAGAATTCAGGTTTCCAAACATTCCTGTGATTGCTCGGATGAGCAGTCTGACAACTGAGACCCATCCCCGGGAATTACCGCTTTGCAATATGAGGACGATGTTGACCGATCTGCGTACTCTTTCTATTGATTACCGTGCCGTGCAATATTGGCCGTCGGGGCTTTCCATAAATAAATAACCGAAGCATCAAGATCAATTTTATACACACGTAACACTTTTCACACCCACAAAAGTGGGAAGAAATCCCTTTGATGGGACATCTGACGCTTTGTTATTCCTGCCACGTTCATCATTATGGACATCTTCCGAAAGACGTCACCAAAAATTAAACCCTCCCCCCCGGAGCCTTCTAGGTTTTTTTCCCCTTGCTTGTGCCAACCCGCGTTCATCTTCTGGCCCGGTCTTCCTGATTGTAACCAGCTCAACCCGTTGACATTTGCTGTCTCGGGTCCTCTGTTTCATTTTCTTTCTTTCCAGTCTGCTTTTGAGTGGAAGTAGCATGCCAAACGTGATTCCGCTGGTCGGCATATTGAAACAGCTTTGCGTGAGCAGCTTTGCAAACCCTGAGTCGTCTTGTTCTTCTCCGCCGCCCCCTCTTTCCTTCCTTTCAACCCCCCCCCAACAAAAAATTTGCAGGCTAATTTGCACATCCACCAGTCTAAACACGGCATGTGCGTGGACGTGCATGCTGATGGCCCCCTTAATTTCTTGCGTGTAAAGTGGCGCGGTTGCACAAGGACGATTGTTTGATCATCTTCCCCGTAATGGTTGATTCCACTGTTTAATTTTTTTCTCTCTCTCATTTAAGTAGAATGCTACTGGCATTATTGAACATGTTCATCTGCTCAGGCACAAGATATCCTGAGAATAGCCTGCCCAGCACCAACAGGATGTTAGCGCATGGATTTCAGCCAGAGGGTTGTCTGGGTGTCTTAGAGATATCCCGTTTAAATGTAGACCTTGTCATTTTATACGGCACAGGTGTCATGCGCAGAGAGTTCTTAGCCATCCAGTAAACACATGAGTTCTTATTTTCAAACAGAAAATGGTAACATTTCTTTGTTCATTGAGGGAGAAATCTTCTTTTTTTTTAGAATCTCCACACCCACAATTAATTTATCTGTTCTTGTCCGTTATCTTTTCTCTTTATTCCAGTGGCAGTTACCCGTTTGCTTTTTTAAAATCCTACCAAGTTGCACAGCATTTGAAAACAAATCATAATGGTACGTGCACCGATTTTTGTGAAATCATCGCCCAACAAAACTTGCTCTGTATTACCCCACAGGGTTGGGTTTTCAGGGACACTGCTAAAAACCGTTGGCAGATACCGTTTACGGTAAAAAGATTCACTTTTGAGCAAGGCATGTCTTGCACACGTCTCAGTGTGCATACATGTCTATGTTACTTGTGTGCACTTGTTACAGTAGGTGCAGGGACATACATGTATATACAAATACACCTGTACATTTCACCTGTTTAGTGAGGACCGAAAGCATTGTAGGGACAGAGAAGTGTCCCCACAACTCGGTCCTAATATGCCTAACAAAAGAAATTACCCCACTCTATGCAGTGAAGGGTTGCCCTTGTGGGTGGGCGCATGGCCATCCGAGAACCTTTCACTGAATATTTGTCTGGGCAAACTGCTTTTTCGGAGCATACTAAAATCAACAAAGAAAAATAAGGTATTCCCACATCCCTTAAAATTCAAAACTTAAAAGCAATGAGGTAAGACTGGTTTGACTATTAGAGATCTTCTGTCAAATCTGTGACTTAAATTTGCGACTTTCAACATGTACAGTATAGTTTGTCATATTTACACAATAGAATAGAATACATTAAAATACTGTCTGGACTGAATTTCTTACAAATATTGGGTCATTTAACTTAAAATTTTGTACCTGTATGTGATTAACTAAAATTAAAGTTTACATATTTGAAGTGGTGGAAATGCTGCAGTGAAGGGTTTTTGTCTGAAAGTATACCTGGAGTTAAAGTGTGTAGGTATTTAAGTTTGACCGATACCTGAATTTTATTGTCTAGACCTTTACTAATAAGTATACATGTATGCTTGACCGGCCTTAACATGAGTTTGAGGCCGTGTCCGAAACGGGCTTCCAGAGCTACGGCTAGATCTATTGTCTACACGTCTCCACGCATTTCTAATGGAGTGAAGACCTAGACCTAGCTCGAGACAAAGGATTCGGATGCAGCCTAAGACTGGTTCAGGAGAATGGATATGGCCTGCGGCTCGGGCATTACCAGTGTTCGTTCTCCTGAGCCGGTCTTAAACTAACCAACCAAGCACATAGATATTCCCACTCACAAATACGGTTTTAGTCAGACAAAAAAAATGAACATACAGGTATGATAAATTTCCAAGGATTTTGTTCGAGAATTTTACATTTTATTTTCCCAAACACCCCCCGTCCATTTGATGGGATATTCCTTGTGCAAGTAGTCTAGAAGAATATCCTTATATGGACTTGCGCATTTGGCGAGTTCCACGCGCACATTGTTGAATAGGAAACTGTCTGAGGTACTTATGAATATTGAATAACAGATTTGGTCAGAGGAGATTGATGTAACAGCAGACGAATAATGTCAACAAATTTTACCCAAGTTAAATTCAAGTTCAAGAGGCTTGTGCAGTTGTGTGCAGTTTGTCACAGAGGTGTTTTTTAGCCTTCTTTCAATTCTTGTGATGACCGTAGTTCCTGTGACTCAGCTCATTTCAAACAAGGGAAATGTGGACGAAGCATGCGAGAGAGCGAGGTGTGCCTAAAACGGCATTAACATTTTGCCTTACAAGTGATGATCCAACCATTAGTGGGTCGTAAATGTTCCTCCCTGTTTCGAACAAAACCTTTTGTCGAAATCACCATTACCATGGCTGGCAATGTGGAACCTTTTAGTCAGACACTTTCTGGATTTGAAATGTACATGCAGGCCCTTTTCTTTCTTCCTTTTTTGGTAACTTCCACCAAGTTCAGGGCCTCACCTTTTGAATACATTGCCAACTGACATCAAATATTTATCTGAGAAAGGGGAAAAATACCATTCACTTAATTGAAATTTTCATTAAAATCAAAGACACGGAAATGATCAGAATCCCAAAATAATTTAGCCAAAAGTTTTCTAGCCCCCACACACAGCACATAACACACACTACAGACTACGAGGCGCGGCATCGTTAATAGCCTAAGTCGATGTTGAACATGCTCATGCAGCAGTCCACCTTGATCTTGGTCCGCTGGATGGGCTGGGAAGGGTCGACCACCGGGATCACCACGGCATCCACCAGCCGCTCCCGAATCTCGCAGGTTACGCCCTGGATGATCTGCGACTCCTCGTACAGGCAGCGCTCCTCCAGAAACCACTGCTCCAGGTTGACCTCGGGAAACTGCGATCAAGAAACGACAGAAAATATGCATCAATTCGCTCATACTTTTTATCCTGGGTGTCACTCCAGTGCCTGCTCGAAGTTGACACATGTACGTGTATTAGAAGGTGTAAAAAAAACCTGGAAGTGTGTGAAGATGGCGATGCGAATTTTAAGGAATTGCACACCACAGAAATTGGTTATGAGAAAACTATTAATTAACAGTTAGTAAAAGATGTTTCCTGGCCAAACATCATACAAGTAGATGTACTGTTTGAAAATTCTGTTGATTTTTTTGCTTAGTAGATTTAGACAATCTGATGAGGCCCTACATGTACATGGTGACACATTAAGCGGTATTGTACAGAACATTGTACAGTGCATGTACATTTATATAAGCACGTACTGGTACATGTACAAGAACTCGAGTACATGTACATACATGTAGTTGTTAAGCATGGATTAGATTAAGGTAACAGGTTGTAGCTGTAACAGGTTGCACACGAAGCCTTTCTGTGCTCAGGGGCTTTTAGCCTTCAATATCAACTTCATGGAAGTAACCCCTCCAATTTCTTGGAGCTGACAAAGCAGAAGGCACTGTTTGCATGCTTAGCAAGGATCCCCTCATCAGAACCAGCCGCATGTATACATGTACACTTTGGTTTAGGGACTTGTTTGTCCAGTGCAAATGTTTTTTTTCTTTTCTTTTCTTTTCTTAGTAAATATCTAAGGCTGGTGGCTTCATGATATTGGGCCCTGCTCTGTCTCCTAATTTGTTTGCTGTGAGCATGGAACACTGGCATTTTAAGTGCAGGTACTGTATCTACCCAGTCACACGTTAACGTAAAAAAATATCTTCCGCTGTTTTGCTTCACGCTGATACAAAGTGCCTTATTAATGAACCGTTTACAGTTCCATTTTGAGAAAGAGCCAGAAAATGATGCATGCTGAACCCCCCCCCCAAAAAAATGAGTAAACATTTTGCTTTCAAGGCTGAACTGTTTTGTGGGCTTTTTTGTGAGAGGAATCAGATTTGGCAAACGTGTTGCTCAGTCAGCCGGGACAGGCCAAACACGGTAATGAGAAGTCTCAACACAATCAGAGGCCTTGTTCAAATTCCAGTGATATTTGGTCTTTTACCAGAAGATGGATCAGAGGAGGGAAATTACCGATAGATCCTTTTTAAATCCCGTCCCGCTTGGGGACCCCAAGAGACAGCACATGCACTCTGCAAGTGCTCTCTATTAAATTGGAGCATCCTTTTGGTTCCATAGGGCATCCAAAGATGGCCTTGCCGCCGCATTTTTGCTTTCCCTAATTCTGCCCTTGGTGAGATATTTCCCAGAAGGACGTTATTTTGGCAGATCACAACTGAATGAATAAAAAACATTGTCAGTGATTTTCAGTCGCAAGCCCCTCAAATAAATCTTACACAAGTTAAATCAAGCAAAAGACAAAAGAATGCAGAACACAATGTCTAATCCAAAAATTGAGTACAGCTATTCCTAAATCTGAATGTAATTTTTAGGACTTGGGTTCCATTCTTTTCTGGAATAGTTTTAATTTTGTCACATTAATGCAATATGCTGGTTTAAAAATACTTGTTTGGTATTTGGTCAGTCATTTGATCTGAGTTGAAAATAAATTTATCAGTAGCAAAGGTTAATAGCAAAGGTCTGTGGTATTTATTTCAAGAGAACACTGACTGAACCAAAAATATTTACTGTAAATGGGGTTTGTTAAAATCTGTGCCATTTACCCTTTATGGCGGTGCTTGGTATTTTCTATAGAGAGTGTTGTTTCTATCTTTGTACTTCTTCTTCTCCAGCTGATGAAATACACTGTGTCAGATTTGAGTTAAACGGTCACAGGTTCGTACCTAAGTACTTACTGCTTTTCATAAATGTCAACATATGAAATTTTTGAGGGTTGCGTTCTTTGTTTGGGTTGGAAACTTGGAAAGAATTTGCACTTTTAGCCACGCTCACGTGTAGATTTGATCAGTTGCACATGTCAGCTCCGCCAACAATTTTCCCACAAATCATGGTGCGCTGGTGGGTACATGCATTCCCCTATTTTCTGTGTTTATTTCTGTGATCAGAGGCAATTTTAATACATGAAAATGTTCATCTTCACAAACCACTGCTTGAATTTTAGCATTTTGCATGGCTTCACATCAGGATTACTACTGAAAAAGCAATACTGTATAATTGTCTCTGCAATTGAAGATAATATTTCACAGCAAAGACTGTGGACGTTTTCCAACCTACCTACCTGTGCTATTTGTACCAGCGTCCCGTTTGCTGTCTCGGCCAGCACTATATTGGACCACGTCTCCACCACAGGGCACACCTGCAGGCTGAACACCTCCCTTTTTCTCCTTGAGTGCCTCTTGGCCACCTCTTGGGACCCTGCGTCCCCCTGGTGCCTTCCTGCCTGCTTGTCCTCCCCGCCTGGTTCATGCACAAACTGGGCAGGGCTGAGTCGCTGCCTCCGCCTGTGGCCACGCTGGCCGGAAGAGGACTCACTCCCTGACGTTCTTTTTTTGCCTGTCCTCCTTTGTGCACCATGAGACTCTGAGGACAGCGGACTGTTTAAGAATTCTGAAGCTTGCTCAGAAGGCAGATTTGTTTGGTGGCGGTAGGAATACCCCTGCGCAGTCCCTTTGGCGCGTGAGTCCGAGTAAGGCTCCTTGCTGTTTTGGGATTTTTTAGGAGTAATCCGATTGACATGTTTCGCTCGGAGCCTTTTCCTATGGGCGGGGTTTCTGCAGTTACTGTTCAGGCTGCTTTTCCCGCCTGGGGGTGGGTCCTGGCTTAGTACTGTCGGGTTGGAGTCTATAGTTCTGTGGAGTTCTGGCTGTGATTGTGGGACGTCCCGGGAATCTCCGTCTGGGTCTGACGCGAGGTCATCCAGGTCAAAAGAATGCCCCATTTTCTCCAGCTCCTTCAGAATCTGGTCAACGTGCAAGTGCGCCGCGTGGTCTTGAAGTTGGTTGATATTCAGGGCGATGGGTTTATCCTTTCTTGTGATCGTTTTGGGGGCAGCCTTTCCTCTTGCCTGGTTGCCTGAAGCCTGAGGAGGCAACTCTGCCTCTTGCAGATGATTCTCCATAGATTGCTGCAAGCGCTGCTTGTTGACATAATCACGTATAAAGCCCTCGGCCTCGTTCCAGTTTGGTGTCCCAAGGATTTCATCTTCTGGAAGAGCATTTTGATGGCCATGGTTATTACCTGTATTCAGATGGGTGCTTTTCTGGAGCAGCTCTTGAACCTGATCCTCTGTGAGATGTATCTCGTTTTGTTCATGGTTTTGATAGGGTGGGGGCTCGGCGATGGGTTCCCTATCAAAGCCTTGCTGGTTCATGGTCAGCTGACTGACCACTTTGTGCCTGGCGAGCGGCAGGGTCTCCTGGGGGTGGAAGAAATCCTTGTAGCGCAGGAGGATCAGATCGCGCTGGTGGTCCTCCAGCCGCACCAGTGGGGTGTGTTGGAGCTTCTCGTTCTCCAGGAGGATCTGCGGGAAGAGCTCCAGGATGTCCAGGAACTCCTGGCTCTGCAGCAGCTCCAGCTGCTGCCGGGGGCTGAGGTAGACCTCCGAGTCGCAGCTCAGCTGGGAGGGGCAGAAGAAGCCGCAGAACTTGCGCCAGAAGGCTTGGCTCTTGGGCTTGGGCGTCGCGGCCGCCTTGCTCGGCTGCGGCTGCAGGAGGAAGAGGAGGAGGAGGAAGAGGAGTCGAGCGTGGAGACGGGGCATCTTGGGTTGCGGCAGAGTCATCTCTGTGCTATCTGGACAGAGGAAAACAAAACTACCATCACTATCAACCTGACACCAATGGTTTCTCAAAAAGATTGTTAGCTTGGTATGGCGTCTGAAGTCAGCATGCATACAGAAACCTATATGCAGAGAAGAAAAACGTTTAATGCGAGAAACACTGCGTACATAGAGGAACCACTGATTTGGCTTCACACTGAAAAAATCCTATCTTTTCAGCAAGAGTCGGATTTAAACCTGAGTCCTGAAGGTTGAAAAAGACCATTGCAGCACTGTTTTAGCCAGTTTGCAACATGGTATTTGTTCATCGAACCCTACTTAAGAAATCACGTCCAAGTTTGTGATGAACTGGGCCTCGCTGAAGCTGCCTGGTTGTTGTTCACAGCCATTTTTTCAGCGTTCTCCCGTATATGGTAAGCCGACAGGTGTTTGCTCAGATTTGAAATATTTCTTAACATGCACATGTACTCTGTATCTTGCTTTTCTGCTGAATCCCAGTAAGTAATGGGTAGAAACATTTTCCCAAAGTGGTCTTACATTTGGGCATTCAGTCCCCGTCACTCTGTGCAAGGAGATATGTTGATGTCAGTGGGTAGTACACAACTGGCCTACTGAAGTGGAAAGACAGCGGCTTATTAAAGTGTTTACAGACAAAAGCATTCGTCCAGTCAGTTATAGAGCTCCGACGGAAATAGAACTCCCACATCGTTGTCCGTTTTGCAGGAAGCAGGAAATGAGACCAACTGTTCTTAAAAAAAGTGGGGGCAGTCGACAAAAAAAGGAAGGTTTGTAAGAAGTTGGAATTGGTCATCGTCTCGGCACCGACAGTAGCATTGTCGTGCACGCTCTATTGATCCCGTGGGCAGGCCAATCGCAGATTGCCTTTGAATTCTCTTCTTACAGTTCCAGTCCTCCACCCCCACCTCGTTTCAAGTTTGGATCTCACTTTAAGGATGTCACTGCATTTAGAGGCCTCCTATTCTCCACTGATTGATATATTTAATCACCTCACAAGAGGAAACCCAAGACAAAAAAAGATCTACCAAATGTATTTCTAGTAGTGCATGTTTTAAAGATGCTATAGAAATGGAGTGTGCAGAATATAGAGAAAATTCTACAATTAATACTTATGAGTTTGCTTTAAGCAAAACAGTGAAAAGATCTTTTCTGCATAGCCCAGATATTTTCTTCAGCTAGCACAAAGAAACAAGCCAATTTGGAGATGAGCTGGTTTCAAGTTTCAGGTCAGTCGGTTTGGAGACCGCGCAATGATGCGGAGGTGTGTGCGGATTGACCTTTCCCAGTGTGGTGTCGGAAAAGGGACGAAAAGTGGCGCTGGCTTCATTGTTAGCAACAGCCCTGGAATGTTTTGTTCGACCGTTCAACGGAAAGAAAAATCATAACCTGATGAGCATTTCCAGCCTTTCTGGCTCTGCATTTTAGTCGGATTAAACAAACAATTCTCTCATTTTGGCACCATAAGAAGGTCTATTCTCGTAGTGATCGATACTTGTGCAATATTGTAGCACAGATACCGGCCTGATTTCGAAAAATAGTCATATGAGATCCAATGAAAGATAATGGAAAGAAAATCGGGAAAGATAAAACCACTAATATTTCTTCTATCACACGGTATCCCCCCCTTTTTTTTATAGAATAAAGTTTTCCAGTTAAATCTATCAGATGTAATGAACTTTCCAGAGCCTGGCTGTGCGTGGGTAGTGTTTTTGTAGCTTGAACTAGCACCAATTTGTGTTGTGTTGAGTGATGCCCGTTATTAAATATTCATTTTTCCTCCTTTTTTTTACTTCTAGACCCGGGTAAAATGATTTCATTTTGTATCTCTGAAGAAGAGCCAGCACTGTACCTACTCATACATGAAAATCAGAGGACAGTCCTGCTTTTCAGGGTTTACAGGATCATCTCCCTATTGGTTACTGGAGACAGGTGTCCGCTACGTTTTTATGGGGGTTGGAGTCAAAAAACTAATAGTAAATTGAATTACCCAAACTGTCTTCCGACATAACATGTTGATCCAAAGTTAGCCGTTTAGTCCATTAACCCTAGCCCTCCAGTCCTCCATCAATTGCAGGATTTTACTGAGGACTGTTAGGGCTGACGGATTCACTCGAAATTCACCTACATGTACATTGTAAGTACAAATCATGCAGGATTTCCTCAGTCATGTGGGTGTCACAACACTACTTATCCATTGTGGCTTCTAACGTTAATAGTGATGCCTCAAATACCCAAATCAAGTTTCGCTTTACGCAATGCAGAAAGTGAGTACCGATAATTCAACAAATATACTATTTACATTGTAACTGGATTTTTCTGGTTATTTTTGCAACACCACAAAGGACATAATTTCAGACGGGCGGGCGGACAGGGGAGTGGATGTTTCGACTTAAATTTTGAAGGACTGTGATTCTGTGGCTGCTGTTACCTGTGCTTGCATGAATAAAACCAGAAAGATTTGGAGAAGGGAATACTTAATGACAGGGAAAAAAATTGGAGGCCAGGACATTTAGAAATCTTCCCACTTGCTTGCATTTTATCACAACTCAAGAAGTTAAACTATTCATGGGGATTTAAGGACACTTTCAGTGCCCCATCAAAGAGTTAACTATATACTCTTTCCTGTTTTTTTTGTGCATGCCCTTGTAGTGGTTAGGAGGTTTGAAATCTTCCGAGTAATTGAAGCTTTCTTAGCGACGTCGTATAAAGACTTGACTTTCCACCCCCACCCCCGTGCTGTGCATACTTACATTTGTCTATTTTCCCCGTAAATCCGTGCTCAGGAGACACTGCAGTTCTGCAATTCAAAACGAGGCCCTTTCAAACTTTTCCTTAAATTGTCTTTGGGACGGACGGTTTGTTATGCCAACTAAAACTAACAAATGGAACTGAGAAATTATAATATGCATTAGTTCCCTGGGCCAGAATTTTATTTTTAACAGTCATAGCTGTAGAAAATTACAAAATTATATCTATCATCTTCAAAGTCCTGTGTCTTGTGAATGACTGGATCGCCCTTTGTTGGAATAATTCAGAACTGGCTCCTTTTGGAGCCACATTTCTCCACAAAATTTATTTCCACATTTGATTACAGAAAGTGGCCTCAAAAGTGCCACCAGTCCCTACATGTAAGTTTACAAGTCTTCCGACCTTGAATCAAGGGTTTCTTGCTTTTAGTTCTTCATATCATTCGAAATATTAAACATGATTTAACTTTTAACTTTCAATAACCATTTAGGCACCTTGATGGTAACGTGAATTCCAGTAATATCTGTGGACCACAGCATTGTGAGTTGTTTTATCCCCGTGGAATAGATTTTTCCTTTACAAAGCCTGAAATCCTAAAATCGAGCAAGATGCGAAAGTTGGTTTTGCTATTCGGCCCAGTCAATGTTTCTCGTGGCGTACATTTTCCCTCTAATGAAGAGATTTTCCGATTGCCTGTGATTGACAGAGTAGGTTTGGCCTCTAGTAGTTCAGGATTGTCGGTAGCCAAAATACCTGACGACTCAGGGTTTGACCAGAGGTTGTCTCACTTGTGGAACATTGGTCCACGATGTAAATCCTTATACGTGTACTGATGTATGAGCTTGCTACATGGTATTCCATGTGTGGGGCCTGAGAACAGAAGGCGTGGATACCTGCAGTGGAAACCCGCCAGGGTCCTTTATTTCCCCCTCTGTGAAAAACAGGTTTAGAGGCATTTGGGAATTAGGGTTTTTCCACTGCGAAAGGAAGAGGAACTGTCAAGTAAACCACCGGCAAAAAACCCAGCTTGAGGTACAGGCAGCGTTCATAGTGAATGGAAGATGAGCCTTCCCACAAATCACAATAGATTGTGTCATTAGAGAAAACAGGGGGAACCCTCACCCTGTGTTCATAGTGGATGAACCCTTGTGCATGCCAAATAAAGCATGCAGCCATTGTTTGGCATGCACAAGATTTTATCCATTACGAACACAGGGCAAGGGTTCTCCTCATTTTCTCTGTTTTCTCCGAATGACGCAATCTGCACTCAGAGTTTGCGTCTTGACATGAACAGGAAAAAACCTTTTTAGCTTGTTATAGTCAAGCTCTGAGGACAAATGACACTGCGTTCAATTTGGACACTTCCATATTTATTTGAACAGATAAATCAGAGAAATCATCTTTTATTTAGAGGTGCTCTTAAAAAAGAAAGCCAGTCTAAGTAATCAGAAATAAAGCAGAGCACACTAAGTGTTGAACTGTTAACATTTCAAATCATGGAAATGTAGTCAAATAGCTGTTTAACCAAGATACTAAGGTTACACATTGAAAATAAACATAAGTTGCCATGATTGATTGGTTTCAGTTTGGTTTTTCTTCAGGTTAATGTACATGTATTTTGTATGGGTGTCTTAAACTTTGCAAAAGACCGCAAAAGCAAAGAGGAAAGACAACTCAGACTTCAGTTCAAGTCCAAAGCCAAAGTCTTCACTTCTGTATAATAAACTGCCCTGTCCTCACCCAAATTGCCATTATGAATAAAGAGTCAGTTTGTTCCGGTTGGAATCGCATCTACGGCCTTCAAGTTAACCCCCATTATCTGTGGAAAACCAGTCGAGGGTGGCTATAGCCTGTCCCAAAGTTATGAATATCAATTGGGCATAACGCAGCAGCCGAGTGATGGATTATCTCTCTCCCCCGAGACGATACCTGCACAGAGCTTCACCGACAAGGGCCAACCTAAATTTGGATTGGTGACATTTAAGCGGGCAGATAATGAAGTTCACACTTGAGCATCACCGGTATTTACAGGCGGGTTTGGGATAAATTTGGAATTTGTTTTGCAAGTTTCAAAGTCGAGGGTGCAAGTTTTCAGGCAAATGTTTGATTTCTAGCTATTCAGTTAAAATGTCGGACCAGTATCAGGCCTTAACAATGTACATGTATTTAGGCTTCTCTGGCCTTATTTGCATATCCAGGCTTTGGACAAGAGCCTGACTGGTGTCCCTATTGTGTAAAACTTTCTCTT